GGGAAAAGAAAAGAAAAAATGAATAATCGTGGGACCGAGGGTCGAACCGTGACAGTTCCCAAAATGCTCTCTCGTGCGTACCACCTTGTGCAGAGTCTGTGCGAGGCTAATGATGCCTGGGTTCGTCCACTTCACGCGGGAGGATACTTTGATGACATCGCGCTCGGTAAGGGTGGTGAGGGAGGTCATGGTGGTGATGGGAGAAGATGGGCGGGCGCCGTTTTCAGGTCATTTGCGCACATGTGCACGTGATTGGCGTCCAGCACCTCTTCCAGAATGATAATCATGCTTTTAATGAGCACACTATATTATACCGCTGAACGCCCTATTCTCACAATACCTCCATGACATGTAGGTCCACGTTGGGTGGCTCACTGTACGGTAATCAGTGTGCATGACGCTATCATGTACCGCGCATGACTCACATCAGCGTGTACTCATCATCTTCCTCGATGTCCTCACTATCCCAGGTCAATGGCACATCCATGATGAACTGTAGTCGTTCAGTTACATCAATAAAGATGCATTCCATGGGTAGAAGTGCTTACCCCATAGATACCGCTCTGTTCATCTATAAACTCATCCGCGAGGACCCGCCGCGCAAAATGAGCATAGATCTGATTCATGACGGCTTTGGTGAACATCCACACAATGGCTCCATACCCTTCAGGAACAGGATGCTCTACGGGCTCCCAAGCTCCTGCACACATCTCGCGTACGATGCCCGTCTCTCCCTCCAAGCCCACCCTGCAATCCGCCATAACTCTATCCGTCAGCTGCTTCCTCATTTCTCGCGCCTCTTCACTGTGGTCGCAAGCCCTGTACCATGCAGTAGCCCCTATCTGTAGACCAGGGATGGTCTCACCGACAGTCAGGACTACCAACCCATATATGAACGGGTATATGAGTTCCATCTGCTTCGCCATTTCACCCAGTGCCGCTGGCCATATCTCTTCTACCAGGTCCACAGTCAATCTTCCTTCTCTAGGAGAATCCTCTATGCGTATGTCGAGGACGATTGTGTGAAGATGCATACGAAAACGATCGTCGTGCGCCAGGGCCCGTGAAGCCAGGCGTGCACCAAGATTCACTGACAATGGGCTTTAGCACGTATCCATGAATGCGGCGGTTGAATGCGGCGGTACAATGCGACGCACCCCGGTATTCTCCATCACGCACCTCGCAGGTGACTTTACTGATGGCCATTCGTGTCTTATTCTTTGCCAGCCAGGAGCTCAGCATGTAATATACCCGGTATTGATTCCACATACCTGTCTAAAGAATGCGTACAACGTTTTGCCCAGGTTGGAATTAGCCACCTCCTCTGCCGTCCAAAATACCCCCTGAGACATGTTCTGTACATTTAGGACGAGATTGACTCCGCCAATGGCAGGTCCGGTCCGTATCGCCCTCGCCAATGTCGGATCAACCGCATAGAATGTGGAGTCGGGAGTGTCCGTGACAACCTCTACGGTGAGCTCGTGGCGGAGATGTAGCACTGTTACCACAGGAAAACTGTCTGGTAATTGGAGGGATTGGCAATGGTAGACCCCACGAACACCGGTCATAGTGAGGGAGAAAGGATGGCGCTGGGAATGGTGAAGCCGCGCAGGGGCCCGGGTTGGACGCGGTGTCCAACGCGTGGGAACATGGCGGACTGAACCGAGGAGTTCAACACAAACACCTTGACACACGCCACCACTTGACATGGACAACACGGGTGAACAACCTGCTGCAACGCTCTTGCTTCAGTTTCTAAAGAGAGTGGCATCTGGCTTCCTCTTGGCGTCTGGATCCGACCTTCCTCCCGAATGGAACGCCGACATGGGTCAGCACACCGCCCAAGTGCAGTGTTTTCCGGAGCTATCGCTCGAAAGTTACGCCCTCGACCTAGGCTATAAATATAGTTGTGAACGTCGAGGAGTGGCGAGCGCGCCAATGCCGGTCATGTGGTCCGGAAAGGGATCTTCAGTGGTTGGCAGTTTGAGATTTGGTAGGAGACCTGGCTGATATATTGCACTGCATACCTGGCTAATGTGCATGCATTCCAGCCAGGATGATGACTGTTGCAAAAGTTCTATATGAGGTCAACTCGCGTGGCTCCTACGTGATGATGAGGTACAGTCGCAGTTAGCCATGAACGCATTGCTTTCTCTCACGGATGTTATTCTCAAGGGAGATCTATTATAACAGCCCACGGTTGTTTGCTCACAGCATAGACGCAATGCGTGCTGTCAATGACTTGGCAGAGACTCTGGCGTTGACTGTGGATGACTTGCATGTGGTAAGTAACGTGAACAAGCCTACATATATGCAGCTATCACTCACATAGGCTCAGTATTCAGATGAGATGGCATCCATCAGCGGCGAGGGTATCACTCTCGTATACGATAATGGACAGGTGGTCACGCAGAACGGTGCAAGTGGGCTTTCCTCAACCCAGTGCTTGCAACCGCCCTGACACCTTCTAACAGATTATCACTAAGATAGATCAAGACCTCCGAGACGTTGTGATAGACCCAAGCCATACGGTAGCATTGGTGGTGGAAAAGCAAGTACGTTAACCAGCATGCATGATTTTCTAACATCCTGTACTCAAGGTTGGCAGTGCACGTTCCACAGACTTCATACCCAAGGAATTTTCGGCAGCAGCCACAAAAACTTCCCAAACATTATAGGGCTTGCCACCAAAAGCCTCACGCTTCGAGGCATACAGCATGTTCTGACTCTTCTGCAGAAGTATTCCAGGTGCGCCCTCATTTGGCCTGGTCCGGCATAACATGTCCGATGAACTACACAGTCTGCGCATCTGTCTCATGGTCGACAACGATCCGCCGGGCGTCATGGATGCTATAAAGTTACGCGAGAAATTTCCGAGAGTGGCGCTCATGGGTCTTGTTTATTCTGACATCAAACGGTAAGCCTTGATATGTTATGATCCAAGCCACAGGTTGTGTATACTCTCATCAGCTTTGCCATTAGCAGCGACTATGCCTTTGATTCTCCTGTACAAACAGCTATGAGCTACCTCGCAAAAATCGTGGAGAACGAAAGCCTCGTTCCAGCTGCTTGGAAATCTCAGGTGCAGGCCATGGTCGAAACAAAAGGCAAGCCATCGTACCCGTTAACGGCTATAGATAGCACCGTATTGCCTGCAGGCCATCTAGCAGCTGGCCTGGGGCTGGGGCCTGCCATGGCGTATGTGTATGATAAATTATGGACGGCTGGCTTATTGTAGCAAGGCTCTAAGCGTCCGGTCTTCGATTACAGTCTTGATAGCGCTCTGTTTGTTAAAATATCTGTATACAACAACAGTGGATGCTCTAGCGCTACTCCTCAACGCGGCCGACATAGCTGCCCATCCTGTCGGTTGAATCAGACTCATAGCCCTCCTCGATTAGTGTTCGCCGCGCTTCATACGCGCGCCGAAGCGCGCGTTCACTCCTGATGACATGATGAATATATGCCGACGCCGGCCAACCCATCCTCTCGTACACCATGTCAGGAGGATGAAGTTCGGCGTAGTCTGAGGTCTCCCCAGTGACGTCGGACGGGGCGTCGGGGCCTGTCCAGGCGCCGGCCTTCCATTCCTGCTCAGCCAATTAACTTGAAAGTCATTATACTTGGGAAATCAAGAGCACGCACATCACGGTGGGACTCGCGCTCCAATGCGAACAGGTACGCTTTGATGCGCTTCGATTTCTCCCCAAGCTCCTTCTGCTTCTCTTCAACAGCACGCAGCTTGTGCAGAGTCTTGAACTTGTCAAGACGGAGAGCGTGAGCCTTCTGGGCCTGAGACCCGATGGCGAAGCGGGGGGAGGTGCGAACGGAGGTGGGAAGGGCGTCCAGAGCGCGCAAATGCTTTCGTAATCGAATAACCCGGCCGGGCATTTTGCGAAGGCTCTGGCGCAGGCGTGCGGCTTGGTTGTCGGCGACGGCTTGGTCGCGCTGGCATTGAGCACGGTACAGGCGAGCCGCCCGCAGACGCCCCGCCTTCTTCACGTCGTAGAGTTGCTCCCCAGTGAGTATGTGGACTGGGTCGGCGCCATCCATAAAGGGCAACAAGTGGAAGGAGTGTTAATGAGGAGTATGGATGGCGGGGCGAGGATAGAATTGCAAGCGCGTGTCGCGGGGCTGAGCGTGGGCCAAAACGAATCACGCCGAGAACCGGCACTACCGAGAACCGAACCTACGAACCTTTCGAAACACGAGACAGCCGAAACACGAGCACACGAGACCACGAAGCCACCGGTCCACAAAACCTGAGGTCATGTACAAGGTTATGACCAAGATCTTTTCTTTTTCCACTGTCGCTCATGTACGAAGGGCGTGCGGCCATATCTTCTGTCACTCGTGCATCGACCGCGAAGTACGGGCTACCGCGACTGCCCTCAGTGCGGCGCCGCACAGTTGCTCTTCGCCTTGCTCAGGCTCGACCTTAGCGATGCATAGTCGGTGGACATCGCCCGCGACGACCTCGGCTTCTCAGCTCCCGTCTCGTTCCCTCTCATCCCACTCCCTGCTTGCCCTGTCTGTATTGTATGTTTATCGTCCGGATTAACATGATTTCCGTCTCCTCCAACTGTTATGCTTCCCTCGCCGCCGTCGGCCATTCCGATGCCGTACTACGCTATCTTCGGCATCTTCGAGCCGTTATTGACGTTCGGCGGGTTCATCGGCGCGTTACTGGACCCTCTCGAGGTGCATATATGCTCTGCTTCTAGCCGCGAAGCCTAACACGGAAAACTGACTTCGCTGTCCTATAGACGCACAACCAACAAGAGCCGTACCACCCTGGACGCGCATTGCCTACCGAGCTCTCGACGGCGTCGCTCGTCACCGTCACTCAATTAGCGCATACATGTGCTCTCCTTGGTCTTTTGAACCTATTCATGCTTCGAGCACTCCGCACACATCTCGCGTCACAACCAGCTCTTCAGGAGAAGATCGCCACCGCGTTGCTTACGCCTCTCCTCGTCGGCGATATCATGCACTTGTTCGTGACGTTCTACGCCCTGGAAGATCAGAAGTGGGAGTACTGGAATTATACGCCGACGATCTGGGCGGTCGTGGTCTTTGGAGTAGGCCTGCTTGTGCCGAGAGTGATGTGGCACCTGGGCATCGGGCGCTTTGTTGATGCAAGAGACGGGAGGAGGGATGTGGGTAGCAATATCGCTGTCCTCAAGTCTTGAGGACAGACTCGCGGACTCTCGCAAAAGTATGCATAGTATTGCGGACTGTGGACCGTGGTGGCCAGGGGTGTAATGGGAATGATTTGTATACGTCCACGGCTATAATGTAAATGCCCTGCACAATGGATATCAACATGTGTCCACTCTCATAGACGGACAATGCTCATATTAGATCAAGAAAGCGTCACTGGAAACCGCCACGTTCGCAATGCGGACGCACATCGGGGCTTCCTCCAACCACTTGTATAATCATAAGAAGCAATCGGGAAGCGCACTCACATTAGATAGGAATGAGTCTATGTCCGTTTTGGCTTTGCCGCGCCGGCAGCTGTCGCAGCTGAACTTGCAGTCTTTGCGCTCACAGCTTCGACGACCTTCAGCGCCGCCTTCCTCGCATAACGCCGCCTATCCAAGAAGTCGAACACCCAGGTCTGTAGCAGACCGAACGTAGCCGACGTCAACCAGTATATCTGCACAGTCTATATGCTCCGGTCAGCACCCATCTAGCATCTCGTACGAAGCAAAAGAGGACGCACGCCAGGCGCGATCATCGCGACGACAATCCTCCCAATAGACCCGATCCTCATCGCAGGCCTCATCAGTCTATTAATGGCCGGCATCGCGAACTCCTTCCGCGCCACGGCCTCGGCGACCCTCTTCCTGTCCCTCTCATCCGCAGCTTTAACTCTGTCTGGCATGAACCAATTCGCGCTCTCTGTGTTCGCCAGCGTCACAAAGCCGAGCAGAATGGGGATTGTTGCTGTTGGGTCGGCGTGTGTTAGGCTGGTCAGCGTGAAGAACGTCTCTGTGTCAAGGAGGTCGGTGTAGGGCGGGTAGGCGATGCGGGCGAAGAAGGCTGACATCCCGAAGAAGACGGGAAGCTGCGTCAGAGCCGGGAGGATTGTGGTGAGGCCTGAGCTGGCGTTGTGCTTCTTCAGTAGCTCCTTGCGCTTCGCTTGCATCTGTACGCAACTAGGTCAGCCCACAGAAACTTCGCCATATGGAAGAGCACGCACGGCTTTCTTGAAGCGTTCGCGATACATCTTATTCAATTGTTCTTGGGTGCCAGTCACACCCTCCTGTATCATCTTCAAGTTCTCCTCCCTCTGTAGATCTTTCGACATGGCTTTGAGTTCAGGCTCGACCCGCTCATCGACACGTATGTTTCTCCTTCTAGCCTGTACACCTGAGCGGACGGTCCCATCATAGACAGTGAGTATGGCTCACCAGAAGGGAGAACGGTAGCGTAAATATCAATCGACTAGCTACGGTAGTGACGATGATAGCAGTGGTGTATTTTGGCCATTCTGGCGGTATGGGTAAAGCTAGGGCCAAGTCGAGGAATGCGTTGCCAGCGCCATCCATGAAAGTGCGGCGACTTGCATGACGAGAGGCGACGGATGTCCTGGGTACATGCCGTATTCGCCTCGCCGCAAACATGGTCGAAGTCCGCGCCAAGACGCGACGGACTCGAGTGTCGCAGACGCGTTTCTGCGGCATATTTCACGTGACCCCGTCTATCGGCAATTATTTTTGATCGCTGCTGGAGCGGGACGATACTGTAGTGGAAGCCGGCGAGAAATTGATACAATTGCGATGAGAAGAATGGGAGAATCATGGAGTAGCAACGCATATCATAGTTCGCCTAGTGAAAAAGCATACGGCGGTCCCTCTAGCCAGACGGCCCCAGCGCACGCGCACGAGCCCCGCCCCGACCGACACACTCCCTCGTACACACATCTCCTCTGAGAGCCCTCCAATCAGAACTTGAGCTGGTGGGGGAACTGGCCCTTGGAGAGGCCGAACGAGGACGAGAGGTACTTGACGAGGTTGTCCGTCTTCTTCACCGCGGCGAGGATGGACTTGTCGACCTCCTTCTGGTCGGTGGTGCGTGCCTCGGGGAGGGGTTCCCGCTCCTTGGGCTTGCCTTCGGCGAAGAACTCCTCCTCGGCCGACTTGCTGCCCTTCTTGGAGTTGGCGGTGAAGTACGCGTCCGTGAACTTGTCGTCGAGCTGGGATTTTGGTCAGTAATCGAGATTAACGAATAGTCGCGAGTATCAACGGACCTTGAAGTCACCGAGCTCGACTTTTGTAGACGTTGCGATAACGTAGGCCTGGTTGACCCTGCGGAGGGGGACGCCGTTGACCTTGAAGGGGCCGGTGACGAGAAGCAGGCCCGACTCGAGCTGCTTGAGGAATACGACGCGCTTTCCGCGGAAACGGCCGGCGAGGAGGATGAGGACGGTGCCGGGGGTGATGGACGAGCGAAGGGATGCGGGCTTGGGCGTCTTCCTGCTCTTCTTCGCCACCGGCACGTCCTCTGCCGGGTAGTACCGCGGCGCCTTGGCCGCCGGCACCGAGCGCGTCTGGCCGTTGTTCGCGCCGCCGACAGTCTTGGACGTAGGCTCGGCCGACTCGGGCAGCGCCGTCTTTGCGCCCGTGAACGTGTTCGTGCGCGGCATTCTGGTGAGAGTAGGAGGCAAGATGTCAGTATCTCAATCATTCCAGTTCGCCGCGCCAGAAGACACATCCGCGCCCAACAATCCCAATCCAGCCTCCCAACATCCTTCCAGCGTCCCAGAACACATCCCAGCAGTCTGACAGGGTCTCCAGCGGGCAGCAGGGCAGCAGAACGTACTTGAGGGGTAGGTCTTGAAGTGGCGTAGTCGCTGTCTGTTGCGGCGAGCAGCGATTCCGAGATGAGCGTCGGGATCCGGCCCGCTCATCCGGGGAAATATATCCAATATATCCGAACATCCGCACCGAGATTAGATTAGATCACGCTCGGTCACTATGAAGCCGGTGTGGCCTACTTGACCCGATACCTCCACCTAGCACGTAAGACGTATGCGACCTCCGAATCTCATGCCTTTGCGCTCGTATCATCGCACTACTCGCTGCTTTGCTTATGCTCTTGCAGCCAGTGAGTACTCTACAACATCGATGACTATATGCTCTTCCATTCGTCGTGTTATACCGCTTAATCTACCAATCCACATGTACACTATGCGACATTACTTCTCACAACTCTAGTTCCCTTCGATTTCACGAATCAGTAGCGATGACTGTGAATGCACGGCACGATACATCATTACGAGCAACTACGTATCTCCACCGTAGATTGTATACGCAGTGCCGCCATCAGTAGTATTCCAGCCATGATGTCCAGCCATATCAGCTTGGTCGTATGTATATATATATCTGACACCTCGTCTGTTGCCTAGGGCAGGCAGAGGGCATCGGCGCAAGAGCCGCCAGCCAACAGAGGGAGCCACGTTCGATCTCACGCCCAGATCAATCCCGTCCTCCGAGTCCGAGTCAACCCTTCACCACCACCAGCCGTCATCCTCAGCCTTCTACCCCTACCCCTACCACCACTGCCACTGCCACAATGACTGCCGACATCGCACATACCGCCGAAGACCCTCGTCCAATAGTGTTCTTTGACATCGACAATACGCTTTACAGCGCGTCCTCCAACATCTCGCACGAGATGGGCAAGCGCATCCACGCCTACTTTCTCTCTCTGGGAATGCCCGACGACGAGGCCACTGAACTCCACCACAAGTACTACAAACAGTATGGTCTCGCTTTACGTGGCCTGGTCAGGCATCACAACGTAGGTTCGTAAGGTGAACTTCGGCCGCGGCCTTCCGTCGCCACATTGCATCGGGCCGCTCATAGCGTCATATTTGTTATGTAGATCCGCTCGACTTCGACAAGAGATGCGATCAAAGCCTTCCGCTGGAGGAAATGATCAAGCCTGATCCTGCTCTTCGCCAGCTCTTCCTCGACATTGACCGTACGAAGTACCGCGTGTGGGCGCTCACGAACGCCTACAAACCCGTGCGTCGCGATTCTCCGCCGCATCCTCCCCTAACACTCACATTCCATTGCAGCATGCCGAACGCGTCTTGAAGATCTTACATTTAGAGGACCTCGTCGACGGCCTGATCTACTGCCACTACGATGACCCGTTCTTCTCCTGCAAGCCCGAGCGCGAATATTACGACGCCGCAATGCGCGCCGCCCGCATCTCCGACCCTTCCAAGATATACTTCATCGACGACTCGCGTTCGAATGTCAAAGCTGCACAGGCGCTGGGATGGGGACATGTAGTGCATTTCAGTGAGAAGGGTATGGAAGCGGTGGAGGGAGGGAAGAGGAAGGTCATTGGAAGCGATGAGGCCGGTGGGGATATTGAGGCTGTGAGTGAGTTGCAGCAGTTGAGGAGCGTGTGGAAGGAGATATTCAAAACGGAGACATGAGGGGTCGTGGTGGTGATTGCGAGTAGAGTGGATAATGATACAGATGGATGTACTACATATATTACACGTTATACAGATACAGGATGTGGGACGTGACGCGACTGGTGAATATTAGATGGGTATATAGATCCATAGAAGTCCGATATGATCAGAAAAGCGTGACGGAGACGACCTGCGCAGCCTGTGTGGCTTCTAGTATGATCCCGTCGAAACCTAGGAGACCTGTGGGAAGAGGGATTCAGCACATCCATAGCTAACGTCAAGTGCAGAACACGAACGTGTGGTGGGTGAAGGCAGAGTCAAGGCCTCATCGCCGTTTGTCCGATCATAATTCATGGACGTCGGCGCGCCACCGGGGCTGAGGAAACGCCCAATGACATCCACTCGGTCGGTGAACTTGACGCGTGGCGGAGAATCTACGGAAAGTTCATGGTCAGGGATGAACTTGCGGTGCGCTGCGGGAGCTGACCATCTTCGTCGTCCTCGGGTTTACCTTCTATTTGCCACGGACAGCGCTTGTAGCGCTGGAATAGCGGAGAGCCAGGCTAATATCGCTGTCAGGCTAGCATATGAAGCGGACATTGCAAGCCACTCACGACGTTGGTATGCAGGATGATCTTCTTGACGATGTGTGTCCCGTCCGCAATGAGGAAGTCGACGCCGTATTGGAAGTAGTTATAGAAGTCTTGCCGCGAATGTAAGTATCAGTGGGCAGACACAATTGACAGGACACACAGGCAGGTTCGACAGCGTCCTCATCCGTCCGCTCCCTCGCATGTATGGACATGCGGTCGTCCTCCTTATAGAACGTCCTCAACGGCTCTCCTAAGTCAAGCAACAAGTCCTGCGCCGTTGTGATCCCAATTCTCACGCGCACTGCATCGTTCAAGTCCAGCCAAAAACGCAGCGTGACGCCGTCATGCACTCTGGCAACAGCCTCCGCCAGCTCGCCACTCATAGCCGCACAAGGCAGGACCTCGCTGAGAGGATCCCGCGGGCCGGCATTAGGGTCCGCGTCAGCTTGGGTGACGAGAATCCGCTGCACCCTCTGTTCTCGATCGCTTTCTCCTACAGGAGAGGCGGGAGAAGTAGCATTATCGCCGGCAAAGCAGAAGCGAACGCCAGGGTATCGCAAGTCGTCGCCCTCGTACGTAGGGCCAAACGCTATGCTCGCGTCTTTGCGGCGGAAGTCCGTAGCGGGCGCAGATAGGGTGGTGTCCTTGTATCTTACGGTCAGGGGCGGAGAGTCCTGAAGTTGCCGGATGGCAATGGTGTGTAAACGCTGATGAGCGGGCGAGAAGAGGAGATCGAGGTGCGGGCGGACGTGAATGACGACTGGAGAGGCGGTGGCGTCGGGATCGTACTTGACGTCCACCTGGTTGAATATCTGTGACCGTTGTCTGAGATAGTCAAGTACGTTCCACAGGGACTGGCCAAGAGAGAATGCGCCGGCGCCGACGCCGGGCCTGAGATCCAAGACGAGATCAGAGAACATGATAGCGTGTGGCAAAGTGTGTGGCTCGCGGCTTTCACGCGATGGGCATGACGGGATGCTCAAATTACGACATGTCAGACCGACGGGGCGGCGGACAAACCTTCCGCTGAAGCAATGAGCATCCGTGATAATACAGCCTCGAGCAGAAATGCAGGAAATAACCTTTAGCACCACCCCACGATGCCCTCTGTCAGGGTGCGCAGACAGCCGACGTACGCGTCGCTGAGAGAGGAGCGGAGGAGGAGCACGCGCTCGTCCCATTCAAACGACCCGCCGCCCCTTTCCCCATCTGGCCGCTCTCCCCGGGGCACTCTCGACGGCGAAGACTCTGCGCCACTCCACCCCCGTCTCTCCTCCCGCGTCTACCATGGCGTCCGCCGCAACTCTCTCAGCTACCGGAACTCTGCGACCGTGCCCTTGAGCGAGCAGGGCGCCCCACCCGGCACTCGTCCGCGCTCCCATACTTTCGACACCGGCGCCCGCTCACCCGGCCATGACGAGCTCTTTCTCGGACGCGATGCAAACGTGGTAGCGAACACGCGCAGTCCGTTTGTGCGCGCTGCTGTGGAGGGCGCGCGCGATGCAGAGGACCAGCGCGAGGACAGCGAATCAGAATATTCAGACTTGGACTCGGAGGAGCACCACGACGACGATGTAGTCGACCATCTGGACGTCATAGGTGCGCAGCGCCTTTGCACAGGCTGCAGTGTAGAAACTGAACACGCGCAGACCCGCAGGTCGCAGCGGTGACCACGCTCACGAATGCAGCAAACGCGATAGTCTTGTACGCCTCTAGAACCGAGTGTTGAACGTCCTGCTGACCGCGGCATGTAGCCCGCCAGTCGACGTCTTTGAGCGCAGACCGACGGTCGTCCTGCCTGTGACGCCCGGACCTGGCACGCCAAAACGTGGAAGCATGAACGCAGACTCGACGCATACAGACGACCTGGACAAGCATGTCTCTCATGTGCTCAGCAAGCGCCAGGTGTTCAAGCGAATAATGCGGGGCGTCTGGGCGTATATGAAGACCCGTGCGTGCTGCGACTGCTTCTCCGTGCTTCTTAGTTCTGACTTCGATCATCTTTAGCTCTAGGAGTGAGGCCGACTGGAATCTCCTCCTTGTCATACTGCAGGCACTGACTCTGAGTCAAGGTCATCGTCACGATATATGGCATCCTAGTAGTCTTCTGGGGCAGCGCCATCGTGCTCTTCCTCCTGAAATGGATCAATCTTCACGACAAGACGAAGCAGGACTACTGGGTCGAAATCTCATGTCAGATTGTCAACAGTACGACCATCTTCTTGCACATATTGACCTCGCTCACGATCTTCTCACAGCTTTGTTCTGTTTGACCGGACTGGGCATGGCTCCGTGGCGAATCCTGGACACATACCGTAGGCCCATTCATCCGCTGACATCTCACCACACGCTCAATGGTAAGTCTAGGAATATACAAGATCTGGAGGATGAAACGCATCACGCGCAAACGTCGCCTACGACAAGGACTTCCAAAGCTGCTCGATAGCGATGACCTCCCCGATCCGCAATATGACCCTAACTACGTCCATGTACTCACGGACAAAGAGCAGACGTCACTGCGATACCGTGAGTGTGGTTTCATAGCGCTGCACCTTCTTGAAGGCTAAAAGGACCTACGCAGAGCAAAGCAAGTTCATGCACTCTCAAACATGGTACCGGCCGCACGGTACCGAAACACATCGCGTATGTCACCCAGATTTGGAGAGTTCCCATTTGCATCTAATCTCACCCGTGTTGATCTACAGGCATTCCCAATCCACTATGCCCTCTGGATATGCGCCCTTAATGTTGCCAACTCCGTCTTTCAAGCTATGCTCGCAGCATGTATGTGGTCAATGGACCTGTATGTCACCGCCTTTTCATCCTGCTCGCTCGCTCTGACAATGCATCTCATAGACATCAACGGCCCGCATGGACAACAGGGTGTCTGATCCCGTGTGCCTTCCTTTGCGGCATCGTCTCCGGGGTACTGATATGGCGTGGCGGCGAACTCACCAAACGCACCAAGCGCGTCGAAGAGCTGCTCCGCGTCGCGCTTGCCGCACAACAGGCTCGTCACCAAGACACGTCGGTACCTGTCGAGAAAGGCGGTGTGGTTACTGAGATGGAGATGGAAGAGAGGAAGCCAGAGACGATTGCGGAGGAGCCGGAGAAGGAGCGGGAAGAGGAGACCCCTGGGACGTCTAGTCGAAGGATGCTCGAGGATGGGGATGATGCTCTGTGCGCGTCACCCATCGCGGACTCGTTAGGAAGCGCTACTGCGCTAGATAGGAGAAGCTCATAGGCATCAAATTCCTCACCAGAGACGCTGTGATTGTTGTGTCTCAATGTTACAACAGGCTATGATATGATTATTGATCGAGATGATTGTGAACTTGTGCTTTGCGAATGCTGGGGTATATATATATGTGCACAGACTCTCAGTCCGACCGTTCACCTTCACTCCAACCCGTGCCCAAGCTCAACCCGCTGACCCCGCTGACGCTACTCCCCATCTCATCAAAATAGTCACTCTCGAACGTGCTCCCTTCGTCGTCTCCATCGCCGTCGCTCATCCAGTACATGGGCTCGCTTACCAGCTCCGCATCAAGTACCGGTTGCGCGCAACGCAGACATGTCCACGGACCCGCGCCCTCGTCCGCCGAACGCAGCATGCGATCTGAGATGCAGACATAGCAGTAGACGTGTCCACAAGAAGTCCTGTAGGGTGTGGATATCGCATGGGTTGGAGGTTCATTGGGGCTGGAGCCGCTAGGTTGAGAGGCGATCGCGGTCATTTGAGATGCAGCTTGGGTGAGTGCGTCGGGTGCGCCGAGATTAAGCGTCGTCGCAGCGTTTTCATGGCACACGGCGCATTCGGTCTCGGCCAGGTGGGCGTAAGGGCCACGTCCCTCCGAGTGGCTTTGCTGTTTTGCGTCGACGGAGTAGCCCAGGGCTTTCTGTGCTGGAGCGGGCAATAAACGGGAGGCGGTTGCGATTGGTGACGTGACGGCCGAGAGAACTGCTGAGCCTGTGCGGTGCAAGGCTCTTCGCGGAAGTAATGGGAGAACGAACAGCAAGAATTCCTGAGATGCGCATGAGATTGAGTCTTGAAAGAATAGATAGCGAGCTCACGGTGAATGCATGCCAGACCATCTGACGATTCATAAACTCATAGCTGACTTCGCGCCGAACTATTCGGGTAGCGGGCACCAAGCGCATACCCAGTAGTCGATCCGTCAACGTACGATACCTATTCGGGCTACATCAGTCGCGAGTTCACGGACTGTGACATGTTCCGTCCACCTTCCGTTCCATAGGAAGACGACGAAGCTGACAAGCGCCAATGTTGCATGCGCCGTCTCGGCGTTGGTCAGGAACTCCCAAGCTCGTCTTCGACGATCAGAAGTCGGCGCTTCAGGCCATGCATTGGTGAGAGCGTGCTGCCGGAGTCGTGAATGCGCGTACGGAACGATGATCGTCAATGTTCCGTGAATCAATAGGGCGCGTCGCGCAAGACCAGATGCTACAAATCGGTCAGCTATGGCTATGTTGAATATCAAAACCACGTACGTGTATTTGTCGTTGCCTTATATCGTAGGTCTTGTAACCTCGCGCCGTAGGATGCACCAGTCGCCCAGACGGAGAACCGATAGAGCGCAAGCCGGATCACGAGCGCAAGTTCGGGCTCATAGCGTGTCTTGAGAGCTGACTATGATGTCCCTTGAGCGGGGGAAGGCGCCCTCATTGGAGTGATAGACAGACCTACACGTATCTGCGCAAGGGCTTTCCCAATTGGCTCCTGCAAGACGTGTACGAGTTCTTCATCCAGAAGTTCCGCGTCGAGCTGCCCGACGCGTAGGATCCGCGAGTGTATTGGCGCCAGATGCGCTAGAGTATCCCTGGCAGATTGCAGAGATGGCTGGGTCTGCTCCCAGACTGACTGCCACGTATCCATCGCTATACAGCACGATGTGTGGGTCGGAGAGGTGAGTGGCGAATGAAAGCTGCAAGGGAACGCGGTCAAGCGAGTCTCATGACGCGTGGATCGTATTCACATGCATGCGCCACTCGGCGCGGTCGCAGGATGAAGATGAAAACGATTGGACCAGCTATCGAGCATAGATGTCCATGTATTCCCATATGCAAGGTACTCTAGAAGGATTGTACCATACTTGTTCTACGCACTCGCTGACCAAGAGCGTCAGCTGTGTGAGTCAATGAGCGGTGATTTGCAAGGATATAGTGCTTCCGCCGGCACTCGTCCGACGCCGAACAGGGACGCGGCGTTCGCTGAGAGTCGTTGATATAAAAAGCGCGCGGGCCTATCGCCGAATCATCGACCGGCTCTCCGCACCCTGTTGACCTCTGACCATCATGGAAGACAACAAGTCGACTCGCTCGGACACGACAATCCACGCGTCGCTGCCTAGCATCAAAAAGGCGGATCTGTACGGGGATGAGGGCACCGTCGATCCCGTATACCAGGCAAAGGCGCACGTATTGAACCAAGCCATACAAGAGATTGGCATGGGAAAGTACCAGGTATGTCAGATGAAAGCATATACTCGTCGCTACAAGCTAAGATGCATACAGTGGGTATTGTTCGTCGTATCCGGCTTTGGCTGGTTCAGCGATAGTGTCTGGCCTCTCATGACTGGTCTCATCTTATCCCCCGTCGTGAACGAGTTCGGCTTCAACTCCCCATTCTTGTCTCTGTCCGCAAACATCGGACTTCTCGTCGGCGCCGTACTGTGGAGCTTCGGCTGTGACATATGGGGAAGAAGGTTGGTGGAGCAGTGCATACCTGGAATATGTCTGACGAACTTGACAGATGGTCATGGAACCTTACCCTCTTCATGGCGTCTGTATTCGGCATCGCATCTGGCGGCTCAGCGAACTTTACCACACTAGCCGTACTAACGGCCCTGCTGAGCGTCGGTGTCGGTGGGAACATGCCTGTCGATTCCGTGAGTAGCAAGCGAAGCTGTCAGATCTGTACGCGCGAGCTAACCGCAAATTGCAGGCTGTATTCTTGGACTTTATACCCAGCTCTCACCAATACCTCTTGACCGTCTTGTCAATCTGGTGGGCAATCGGCCAGCTTCTCGGCAGTCTTGTCGCATGGCCGCTCATAGCCAACTTCTCTTGTGCTTCAGCTGAAGGCTGCACGCGGGACGCCAACATGGGCTGGCGCTATGTGATCTTCACACTCGGCGGTCTCATGTTCATCCTCGCAATTCTTCGCCTCGCCGTCTTCCGTTTGCACGAGTCCCCACGATACCTCATCGGTCGCGGGCAGAACGCCGAGGCCGTGCGTGTCGTACACGCCATCGCGAAATACAACGGCGTCACCAGCAGCCTTCGCCTGGAGGATCTTGAGGCAGCAGAGCGCAACGCCGTGGACAAAGAACGCGAAGGCCGCCGCATCCTCAGCGAAGGCAGCGCCTGGTCCCTAGAGCACATTCGGGCTCTTTTCGCCACGCCCAAAATGGCTTTCTCCACGACCCTCCTGATCGCAATGTGGGGCCTCATCGGTCTCGCCTCGACGCTCTACAACAACTTCCTACCATACCTCCTCGCTTCCCGAGGCGCTCAATTCGACGATGCAACCTACTATACTACCTACCGCAACCAAGTCATCCTCGCTGTGACTGGTATTCCCGGCGCACTCTTAGCAGGCTGGGCCGTCGAGCTCCCGTTCTTCGGCCGTCGCGGCGCACTGGCGCTCTCCGCGGGCGAGTACCCCCATAGCTTTCCAAGTCTGACATTACTCAACGACCCCTCGCGATGACAGGGCTCACGGGCGCGTTTTTGTTCGCGACTACCACCGCCCGCAGCTCCAACGCGCTGCTCGGGTGGAATGTGGGCTACGCGTTCTTCAGCAACGTATGTGTGCTATCCTCCATGCGTTGATTGAGATGAAGGACTGAAGATCTTATAGATCATGTATGGTGTTCTGTACGCCGTTTCTCCTGAGATCTTTCCCGCAAAAGACCGCGGTACAGGTAATGGCCTCACGGCTACGGCGACGCGGGTGTTCGGTGTTGTTGTGCGTTTCTTCCCCTTATCTTCTCTTTCACCAACTGATCACGCTGCAGGCGCCGATCATCGCGCTCTACGCAGACCTCAATACCCCAGTGCCAGTCTACGTCTCCGGCGCGCTCATCTTCGGCGCAGGAGCGCTCGCGCTCTTGCTGCCGTTTGAGCCGCGCGGCAAGGCGTCGATCTGAGTATACTGAGGAAAAGGTATTTGAGAATATTGTCCTGTGCATGACTGTACCCTTCTTGAACTTCGATGAACCTGATGAAATGTGACGCGATGGTGTACTACAAGATACCAGTGCTCTAATGTAGAATCTGAAATAGACGAACTTGCCATTCTCTGCACGATTGAGACGTACCCCCGAAGAGGTAGACATCTCTGGTATTGAGTTGTGAAGAGCATTCCTTTGACTGCGATGGTGGACATCGATACAGTAGCCTGATGTCCTCAAAAGCGGCAGCGAATGTCCAACACACCGGGTTTGCCAATCCGCGTTTTCGTCTTTCGATGTTCTACATAGTCCACGTATCACACAGTAGTAGACGTGTCAAAAAAGCACTGAGTGCGATGCAATGTGATGAGTACAAGTATATGCGTATAATACAGATGGTTGTTGAAACCTCCGGGATTGTTGAAACCCATGATACAGATGCGACGACGACGACGGCAACAACGACAGCAAGCACACACGAAACCCCTTCCCTCCCCATCACCACGACGTGCCCGAAGCACAGTCATATGCAAGTCAAGATAAACGAGCACAAAAAGCAAGACACCGACGCCCGTTGAAGGCTGTGGATAGATTAACCGCTATGGCATGCTGTTGAAGCCGCGGCTAAGGATGTTGTACCCGTTCAAGGGTACTGCTCGCGCGCCCAGCGGGCAGCGGCGACGACGTTCTGGAGCGATGCCTCGGTCTCCTTCCACCCACGGGTCTTGAGACCACAGTCGGGGTTGATGAAGAGGAGAGACTCGGGCAGGATCTGGAGCATGGCTGCGACGCGGTCCTTGATCTCCTGCTCGCCGGGCACACGGGGCGAGTGGATGTCGTAGACACCGGGGCCGATCTGGTTCGAGTAGCCGTACTGCTTGAACGTCTTCAAGAGCTTCATGTCGCTCTTGGATGCCTCGATCGAGATAACGTCCGCGTCGAGACGCTGGATGGACGGGAAGATGTCGTCGAAGTCCGAGTAGCAGAAGTGCGAGTGCGTCTGGAGCGCATCGGTGACGCCGGCGGTGGAGAGCTTGAAAGAGTCGACGGCCCACTTGAGGTAGGCGTCCCAGTCGGAGCGGCGCAGAGGGAGACCCTCACGGATGGCGGGCTCGTCGACCTGAATGGCCTTGATGCCGGCCTTCTCGAGGTCGACGACCTCATCGCGGAGAGCGAGAGCGAGCTGCTTGGACTGGAGCTCGCGCGAGACATCGGCACGGGGGAACGACCAGTTGAGGATCGTGACCGGGCCCGTGAGCATGCCCTTCATGGGCTTCTCAGTGACGCTCTGCGCGTAGCTCGACCACTTGACGGTGATCGGGCCGGGACGGCTGACGTCCGAGACGATGATGGGCGGGCGGACGTAGCGAGAGCCGTAGCTCTGAACCCAGCCGTTCTGGGTGAAGACAAATCCGTTGAGCTGCTCGCCGAAGTACTGCACCATGTCGTTACGCTCGGGCTCGCCGTGGACGAGGAGGTCGAGACCGGTCTTCTCCTGGAAGCGGACGACGGACTCGATCTCCTTCTTGAGGAAGTCCTCGTACTCCTGCTCGGTGATCTCCTTCTTGCCGAACTTAGCGCGCGCCTGACGAATCTCCTTGGTTTGCTAGAGACAGGTATACGTCAGTTAAGTCCATACTGACGCGATCGGGCGTTACACACCGGGAAGGAGCCGATGGTGGTAGTGGGGAACTTAGGCAGGTTGAGCTTCTGCTTCTGGACCTCCTGGCGGACGGCGAAGGGGCTCTTGCGCTCAAGCTGCTCGGGCGTGATAGCAGAGACACGCTTGCGGACAGCGTCGTCAGAGTTGCGCTCAAAGTCGCGGCGCTTGGTGATCGAGATCTTGTTCTCTTCAAGCGCCTTGGAGACGGCGGCATCCTGGGAGCCAGAGAGAGCCTTGGCAAGAACGGAAACCTCGGCGGCCTTTTCGAGCGCAAACGAGAACCAGTCCTTCTGCTCAGCGGTGAGCTTCTTCTCCGACTCGAGCGTCACCGGGGTGTGAAGGAGCGAAGAAGAGGTGGCGACGATGACGCGGTCCTGGCCGAGGGCGTCGACGGCCTTCTTGCCGAGCTTGAGAGCAGCCTCAAAGTCGGTCTTCCAGATGTTACGGCCAGAGACAAGACCGAGGGAGAGGACAATCTCGGTCGGCTTGATGGCCTCGATGGTGGCGTCGAGCTGCTCAGGCGCGCGGTCGAGGTCGATGTGGAGGCCGGCGATCGGGAGCTTGGCGACAAACTTGAGGTTCGAGTCGAGGCGGTTGAAGTAGGTCGCGAGCAAGATCTTGGGCGCGACGGGAGCGAGCTCGGCGTAGGCGGTGGCAAACTCCTTCTCGAGGTTGGCGGCAGAGTCGAGGACGAGGATGGGCTCGTCGATCTGGACCCACTGGGCGCCGGCAGCCTTGAGGTCGGTCAGGAGCTGCTTGTAGATCGGGAGGAGCTTGGGCAGGAGGGAGATGGGTTGGAAGCCGGGCTTGGCCTCCTTCGCGGCCTTGCCGAGCGTGAGGAAGGAGACCGGGCCGAGGATGACGGGGCGCGTCTCGACGCCAGCCGCCTTTGCGTCGTTGTACTCCTCGACGGCCTTGTTGAACTTGAGCTGGAAGTCCGTCTCGTCCGAGAACTCGGGAACGACAAAGTGGTAGTTCGAGTCGAACCTGCATAGACCGTGAGAATATATCGATTAGATTAGATGATCTGCACATACCACTTCTTCATCTCAGATGCGGGGACGTCGACACCGTCAGCCTGACGACCGCGACCCATGGCAAAGTAGACATCGAGAGGGGAGAGGCCCTGGTTGACGTAGCGCTTGGGCACGACGTTGAAGGCGGCAGAGTGGTCGAGAACGTGATCGTAGAGCGAGAACTCGCCGCTGGAAATTGTCTCAGATGAAAAATTCCAGACAAAGATCGAGAAAATGAGGGCCTTACCTGGGGACGTAGTCGACGCCCTTGCCCTTGAGGGCCTGCCAGTTGCCCTTGCGGACCTCGGCAGCGGCGTTGGTGAGCTCGTCAGCAGAGAGCTTGCCCGCCCAGTACGCCTCGACCGCCTTCTTCACCTCACGGTTCGTGCCTGCCAAACGGATGAGGATTTAATCTATCTTGGTGTAAACATTGATCGCCTACCGATGCGCGGGAAACCGAGAACGCTGGAAGAAACCATTTTGAAGGAACGGAGGATGGCGAAGAGAAAAAGGGAGGAGGGAAGAGGAGGGTAGGGACGGAAATGGAGATCGCCAAGCTAATATACCCGACGGCGTTTTCCGGACGAACCAACTCGAAGCGCGCGGCCGACGCCCCTTGCAGCAGCATGTCGCGATTGCCCCAGCTCAATTTGCCTATCGTACGATCATCCATGCGCAATACGCGTTTTGTTGCACGTTTGTCTTCTCGACCTAGAGAAGACGCGTGCACGCTGCCGTGTATGGCTTGGGCGCCGTCGATCTCGTCGGCGTGTCCAACGCGCGCTGTCTTGCTCCTCCTTGTGAGCTAGATTCAGGAGCGCACTTTACGCGTTGGATCAGTCTTGTTCGTCTCAGATCGAACCACTCTTCCTCCCTACATCAACATCGACGCAGCCTTGCAACCATGAACTACGCCTTGAATCTACGCTGTTTGCTCAACTAATGTACCCTCGCAGCTGGCAACGGAAGAGGAGCCGTGCGCGGTCAACTGAAAGTAACCGTGCGACACGTGTGGCGCTCGGCCTTAGCCGTCTGAGTGATCCGCGTCCGCAACTTTCTCTCGCGTCTCATGTTCACGCACTAGCCTGCTTCGCCTATTTGTCTTGCGCACAATCAATCACTATCACGCTCCTACATAACTACTAGAACGCGCTATGTCTTTATTCGAAGTTCCTGGCTGGTCCGTTCCCTCTGCTCCCGTGCAGGAGTCCAAAAAGCGCAAACGACCTTCACGCGCGGCAGAGGGCGATGAAAAGGTTCGCGGCGTTGAGGTGAACCTCGAAAAGCTCGTAAAGAAGATGGATTCTATCTCCGGCGAAGCTGATGGGCGGAAGAAGAAGAAGGCTAAGCGAGAGGATGGTGAGGGTGCGGCAAACGCGCGGTCCAATGGCGCGGGAGAGGGCAAGAAGACTCGCAAGGACGCTGGAAAGGCGAAGGAACAGGTCATTTCCGAGGCACTTGCGAAACAGGGAGAGAAGAGGACTGCAAAAGCCGAGAAGACTCAGGCAACAGCTCCTTCGCAGCCGGAGAGCACGACACCAGCTGTGGCGCCGCTATCCAAAAAGGCGAAGAAGGCCGCTCGAGCCGCTGCGAAGGCAGAGCAGCCGACACCGTCCAGAGAAGCAAAAGCGCCGACTACCAAAAAGCAGAATGGTGGCGCATTCAAGGATCTCACTGCGCTGCAATCGGGTATGAAGAACAGCCTCGAAGGCGCGCGCTTTAGGTGTGCTCCTTTACTCTGTCTGCCTACGTACAACATCTGACGTCAGACATCGACCAGATGGATCAACGAAGAGTTATACAAGTCCGACAGCACGCACGCACATGAGATGATGCGCGAAGATCCCAACGTTTTCCATGAAGTACGTGTTGATTTTACCCATACGCTAGCTCCAAGCCTCATCTCCGGCACCCGCAGTACCACAAGGGCTTCAGACATCAGGTCGAATCCTGGCCCTCGAACCCCGTGTCGCATTACATCGACGAACTCTCTTCATATCCTTCCAAAACGGTGATCGCTGACCTTGGCTGTGGCGACGCTGCTCTTGCGCGTGCTTTGATACCGAGAGGATTCACTGTGCTGTCTTACGACCTCGTGTCGGACGGCGCGTTTGTGACTGAGGCTGATATCTTCGGTCGCCTACCTTTGCCTGGAACTCTACCCGAAGATGATGGTTCCAAACATGATGGAGAGGCCCAGGTTGTGGACGTCGTCGTATGCGCGTTGAGCCTTATGGGAACCAACTGGCCGCTTTGCGTACGCGAGGCATGGAGAGTACTTCGGTCTAGGTGAGAATTGACGTGCATCATTCGCTGCGATTGTGCATAGCTAACCTCAACCTCCAACAGCGGCGAACTCAAGATCGCCGAGGTCGCCAGCAGATTCACCGACGTCGAGGCCTTCAAGTCTTTGGTAAGCTCATGCGGCTTCAAGCTTACCTCGACCGTGAGCACGTTCTCAAGCGCCTATATGATACACTCTGACGATCGTCCACAGGATGACAGCAACAGCCACTTCACGCTTTTCGAATTCAAGAAGGTGGCGACGAAGTGCCGATCCGATAAAGAGTGGGAGAAGTTGGTTGCGAAGGGTTCACTGCTAAAGCCTTGCGAATATAAGCGTCGCTAGTCTATACCACGTACTACCATTTTCCGAGTCGACACACGTTGCCATTGATATAGTTGACTGCGTGACATCCTTATCAATGGGCGGAGGATCGGCGCATGGGCCGGTGACGCCGAAACACGCTTGAGCCTGCCCTTGCCCTTTGCATACCACCTTGAACTGTACCACCATCTACTCCCTTATCCTCTACCCTCTGATTCTGACCAGCATGGCTAACGTTCGCAACTGCTCGGATCACCCCTTGGTGGCTGCGAAACTATCGAAGTTGCGCTTGGAGACGACCTCGAACAAGGAGTTTCGTGAGGTACCTACACATACCCCTTGCCCGCGAATGTGTGTACCAACACTTACTTTCCAGGGTGTCAATGATTTGAGCTTGATGGTCGCATATGAAGCGAGCCGCAAGCTAGAGCAGGCGACCTTCAACGGGGTGCGTTGTACCAGTCTCGTAGAGTTGTTGCCACCTGCTAAGATCCCGCGTAGAAATCGCCCGTGGCAGCGTTCGAGGGCACCCTAGTAAAGCCGCGTATCGGATTGGCGCCCATCCTTCGCGCCGGCCTTGGTATGACGGATGCTGTCTTGTCGCTGTTCCCGTGCGTAGCCATCCCGATCACTGTGTCTTTACCTCCGCCGACACCAAAGCAGCGAGGCGCCTGTGTACCATCTCGGCTTGTATCGAGAGAAGGTCAGCCTTAACCCGGTAGAATGTGCGTATTGCCATTGTCTCTCATTCGGCACGTATCTTCATATTGTGCGCAGACTACTGCAAGCTTCCGCCGAACCCGGATATCGACCTCTGCTATCTGCTCGACCCGCTTATCGCAACGGGCGGAACGGCTTGCGCGGCTCTGCAGATGATCGTTGATTGGGGCGTCCCACGTATGTCTTTCCCGCTGGCTCGAAGATGCTCTGAATACTTACTCGCTACTCGCACACAGTATCGAACATCAAGATCCTCTGCATTCTCGCGTCGGAGCCTGGATTGGAGAATGTGCAGAAGCAGTTCCCGGGCGTAGAGGTTCGCAATCTTTCCGCGTTTCCTCATGCTCTAGCTGAGGATATAATAGATCTGGGCTGCTGGGGTGGACAAGGAGCTCACAAACCAGGGCTACATTATCCCCGGACTTGGCGATACGGTAAGCACATGGACTGGATGCTGATAAGGCGGGATGTGCTAACCTCAATGTGCAGGGCGATCGTCTGAACAACACCCACAGACCTCACTGATCTGTAGACGTACTCGCTCCTCTGTACTCTGGCTGTTTTCACTGTACAATAACAATTGGGATGAACATACATATATCAGGGGCACATGTACGTCCGCGACGCGTCGGACGCGTCGGCCGTGGCGTGTCGACGCGATCCAGTGACCGCGCGCGTCGCGTGAGAAGGCGGGCGCCCGGGCGATGGCGTCTTGCGCTCGTCAGTCTTCCTCGCAAATTCCGTTGTCGCCGTCGTCCAATGCAAAGAGTTATGAATGAAAACATTGTCTGCTCTTTGCACAAGCCACCATGAGCGCCGCAGAGCTGATTGAAGAGTTCACGTCGCGGTCTGCGACGAGCGCCGCGCTTTTCGTCTATGACCTCGCCGAGCAGGTCGGCTTTGGCCAGGTCGCGTTGAAGGCAGACGGCGAGCGCGCGTCCACTGCGCGTCTTCAGACCAGGGCCGGCGCTGGCCTCACCCTCGTCGGCCGTCTGTCGCAGAGCACGAGCTACGAGGGCGCTAAGGGTTCCGTCGTCACCGCCTACACCACCCCCGTCGGCATCTCGGCCATGGTGCCTTCTCTCGTCTACCTCCCCGCGCCAACTGTGAACAGCAAGCTCGTACTCCAGGTGAGATTGAAATAAACTCAGGGTACTATGCACGATAATGACGAAATATCCAGGTGCCGACGGTCACGGCAGTCGGCGAATCATTTTCATACTCCCCGACTCTGGCTTCTCTGAACACGACGCTCGCGTTGCTTCCGGCGACCTTTTCCATCGTGCTCTCCGCCACACCCCAGGAGGCCGTCGATCTCTCCGCCGCCGTTTACCGCACTTCCACGCATGCCATCCACTTCTTCGACCACCACGGCGCCACACGCGAGCTCGGCCCGGCTCTTTCGCCCCCAACAACGTCGCAGTCAGAGCTCGGCGTCACTATACAGTATGCCGTGAAGGAGGCAGGATATGCGCCCTTTGAATACGCGGGAGACAAAGACGCTACGATTGTCCTGGCCTTCCTCAACGGCCCTCTGGCTTTGGCCGCAAAGGCAGTGGCGAAGGACACTCCGGGCGTGGGCGTGCTCATCGTTCGTGTCCTGCGCCCGTGGGACGAGGATTCCCTGCGTGCCGTCCTCCCGTCCATCTTAAAGAAAGTCTTCGTCGTGGAGGATGCGCCCGCGGGCATCTCACAGGGCGCTCTCTTCGGAGACGTGTTCAGCGCTCTGTTCAACCCCGTCGGGCCCGGCCCGTCGGTCTACGCCAAACTCGTAACGCCGGAGTCCGCGACGCGCTTCGTCAACGATCCGACTACGTTTACGGGTTTCTTGTCCGATATAGTTGGCCAGCCGGTCATCCAGAAGGCGCCTTCAGTCCCTGCCAGCAAGTTGCTCTTCTTCAGCTCGCCCGGTAGCGCCCTCGCGAACGTGGGCGAGGCAATCAACAAGACGTTTGCAAAGAGCGCGCGCTTGTCTTCGCGCCTCCTTCCGGCTTTCGACGTTCTTTCGAAGCCTGGAGGCGTCAAGGCTGACCGCATCCTCTTATCGTCGAAGGACGCGCCGACGGACTCCGTTCCTCTGTCGTTCACCATCCCACTCTCGTTTGAGAGCTCGGCGAACTTCCTTGCCGTATTCGATCAAGCGCTTCTCAGGTCGCATTCCCTCCTTGAATACGCCGCGCCGGGCTCTGTCGTTCTCGTCGTCACGTCCTGGACCGCCGCGGAGTTCGTCTCGAACATCCCCAAAGAAAGTCTGGAACTCATTCAGCAGCGCAAGATTCGCCTCTGCATCATTGACGCCAAGGAGCTTGTTGGGCAGCTGGACGCCCGTGGCGAGGATGCTACCAAGGCGGAAGTGCTTGTTGCCCACCTCGCCTTCCTGCGACTCTACTTCGGCGCCCGCGCTACCGAAGAAGCCGTATTCAAGGTCGCTGAAGACCTATACGAGTCGCCTGTCGCAGGTCACGACTTGAAGAAGATCAACGCACGCGTGTGGACGGCGCTCAAAGAAGTAGACCTTACTGGCGCCGTTGCCGAGAAGGAGGGCCAGGCGCTGAAGGTCTTTGGTTTCAACGCCATCGCCGTCGAGGCAGACTCAGAGCCTATCGTGAACGGCGCTCGTCTCGTCTCATGGCGTGACGCCGCGAAGCACCTGCTCTTCCCGAGCGCCTTCACGCCGCCCGTCGAGCCCACGGCAGAGAAGTACCCCCAGAACCCCGCTTTACGCCCTGAGCTCCCAGAGCGTACCTTCCTCGTCACCTGCACCGTCAACCGCCGCCTGACGCCGGAGGAGTACGACCGCAACGTCTTCCACCTCGAGTTCGATACGGCCGGTACCGGTCTGAAGTACGAGATCGGCGAGGCGCTCGGTGTGCACGGATGGAACGACGAAGACGACGTGCTCGAGTTCTGCGAGTGGTACGGTGCCGATCCGAACCAGCTCATCGCCTTGCCCGTGCCTGGCGAAGAAGGTCGCTCGCACGTTCGCACAGTCTTCCAAGCGCTCCAACAGCAGATCGATCTCTTTGGTAAACCGCCCAAGTCCTTCTACTCGGACTTGGCCGCGTATACGAGCGACAGCGTCGATAAGCATGCGTTGCAGTTCATCGGTGCTGCAGAGGGTGCGGCGACCTTCAAGAAGTTGTCGGAGAAGGATACGGTTACTTTCGCGGATGTCTTGAAGCGCTACAAGAGCGCCCGCCCGCCGGTCCAGATCCTGTGCGAACTTGTCGGCGATATCAAACCCCGTCACTACTCCATCGCAAGCGCTCAAAGTGTCGTTGGTGATCGCGTGGATCTGCTTGTCGTCACTGTCGAGTGGGCGACGCCGAGCGGAACGCCGCGCTTCGGCCAGTGCACGCGTTACCTGGCCGGCCTGAAGATCGGGCAGAAGGTGACGGTGTCCATCAAGCCCAGCGTCATGAAGGTACGTCTCTCGCATATCTACTCTCCCCGTATGCATGCTGACCCAGTCCCCAGCTACCTGCGAGCGACGAGCAGCCTCTCATCATGGCCGGTCTTGGTACCGGTGCCGCACCCTTCCGCGCTTTCCTTCAACATCGCGCCGCTCTCGCGGAGAAGGGCCTCCCCGCTGGCCCGGCGTACTACTACTTCGGCTCGCGCAAGCAGTCTGAAGAGTACCTATACGGTGAAGAGATCGAAGCCTTCATCCGCGACGGAGTCATCACCAAAGCCGGACTCGCGTTCTCTCGCGATGGACCCAAGAAAGTGTACATCCAGCACAAGATGCTCGAGGACGCGCAAACACTTGCGCACATGCTGCGCGAGCAGAACGGAGTTTTCTACCTCTGTGGCCCGACGTGGCCTGTACCGGACGTGTTTGAGGCCTTGAGGACGGCTTTGGTGAAGCACCATGGGTACACGTTGGAGGGTGCCGCGGACTTCTTGGAGAGCTTGAAGGAGGAGGAACGCTATGTTCTTGAGGTGTACTAGATGTCTATTTCATGCTGCGTGTTGTGTCATTTATCAAATACCGACGCTTGCTCTGTGACAGTGATGGGGTCAATTGCGAGCAAGACGGACGACAACATCCATATTCGTCCACGTAGAGTATATGAAGCCATTACAAGGGTAGATATTACATAAGAGTCCAAGGTCCATTATGACGACGCGCGATTCGCTCGATGGTTTTTCGTTGCACGTATGAACCAGTACAGCGCCATGCCGATGATAACGATGCCGGCGAGACCAGTGCACTAGGGTTCCGTTAGTTATCAATTCCCCTCTAACAGCTGTTACGTATCTATGTTATTAACAGGTTATTAACAGTAACTCACAGGAGGGCCCGTACAGGCCCTGTTAACCCATGTTAGCAATTCGCCACTCGGCAGATGGATTGGGATGACGAGTCGCCCCGGGCGACCGCGCGCAGACAGCCTCAACGGGTCTGCCCTTAGCATTGCTTCAGACCCGCGTGGAACTATGGTGGACGGCAGCAGGGGGGCTGTGTCCGGGCGTGCGCGGCGCGCCGAGGCGGACCGGCTTCGGATCCGCGCCGCGACGCGCGAATCATCGCGACGGCGATGGCGGGCGCGGATGCGAGGCAGACAGTTCGCAAGGGATGTACGAGTACGGCAACCTCGCTGTCTAGCATAAATGGATACCATTGTGGCCATGGCCGCTCAGGTGCATGACAGCAAGGCCCGACCGGATCCTCGTACATCGCCGCGCCGCGACAAGACCTAGCAAACGCGATGGCTGTATCCCAGCGGATCTCGGATGAGGGAGCCGCGAGTGCAAGGTCGACGGGGATGGTGCTGGATGTGCGAAATATGGAGGGGCAACACCTGTTACTGCCGCTAACACAGTTAATAAATATTTTTAACGCTGTTATTCCTGTTATTAACCCTTGAGTTAGTAACACCTGTTAACAACCATTGTTAACGTAACAATTCGATACGATACATAACAGGGGGCCTCGGGAGTTACTAACGGAACCCTACAGTGCACACACCAATCGCAATCTTCGCCCCTGTCGAAAGATGGCCGGTCGCTGCACAGGGCATGGCGTCGTCACAGGGGGTCCCACTGGGCTTGACAGAATCGTAAGCGCCACCTTGGAGACTCGTGTAGAAGGGATCTGTCGTGTCGTTGGCGACATGCATAGCGACAAGCGTTAGCATGGGTGCATTGTAGTCCAGCGCGACCTGCATACTTGATGAGCATACCAGTAAACAGTACAGCTTCATGCGCGTTACCTCTGTCTCAACCCAGTCACTGCGCAAGTCAAAGTAGCGGTCCTGTCTATCAGGACCGCCAATGACCGCGCCGTAAAGGATATAGGCCTCTTGTTCGGGATCAGTATCAATAGCGGTGACGTTGTCCCCACCGCTTGCCGCGGCAGAGTGTGGGTTTGAGGGCGAGTTAGGGTTCACCCCGACAACGTAGGGCACTATGGGATAACGCATTAGTAACAGATGGGAAGAAAAAGATGCGAAGCTCCGCGTACCATGCATCGGGTTGGATCCCAGCACATAGTCGAGCTGCCTTTGGGCGACATCCTAGGACTGATCAGCGCCAGCGGAGTGAGAGGGTAACGTCCACAACGTACAAGATAAGATGCTTGCTTGGCGTAGCTTGAACCAAGAGGAACATATCGCTGGAGCAGCATCGCGAAGTTCAGAGCAGGGTTCAAGGAGGCGTCATCCGAATCCCCTTGCCACCAGAGCAAACCTCCACTGGTTGTGTCTTGGCTTTCGATTACATGGTCAAAGTAAGCCTCCGCACGGGACTGCCAGGCCGACACGTTTGCTGAGAAGATCGAGTTCGCATGAGCGAGTTGAGCCGCCAGAACGTTCACGCCGGGAGCCTTGGCGTCCCAGTTGAAGACGCTATCATTCGTCGCGAGGTCGTATTGGTCATAGTAGCCTTGTGCAGCGCTGAAAAGGTCGCTCGAGTTCGTAGCCCATGCGAGCGTAAGAGCTGCAATTGCAAGATCATCCCCGTATGATGAGGATGGGTACGCCGTCTGCGGGACCGCTTCTTGATACTTCTGCTGCTTGTGTGTGGAAGTGTTGATGGCGAAGCCATAAAGTTGTTCCGCGTGCGTGAGCAATGTAGAGGCGTAGGTCGCGTTCTGTAAGGAGGCAGGAGCGGTGTAGGACGATCCGAGAGTGCGATTAGCGTAGAGGTTTGAGCACATGGCAAAGGCTGCTGCTGCTTGTGCCGCCGCATCTGTGCCAGGGCTGCATACAACATTTGAGTGCTAGTGATAGCATGGCAGATTGGATCACATACTGGGTCGCATTAATCTGATATGCTGGTCGTGGATAGGGTATACTCAAGTCGCCACCCCAGTAGGCGTTATCGAGGTTTCCATCAGCAACTTGGACGTAAAGGGTATCGTTGTTCGGGTGAGCCTGTGGATACTAGGTGAACATCGCGGAGCACAATGTGGCAAGCTACGCACCTTGACGAGCCAGTCAAGGCCCCAGCGCAACATGTCATCGAGATAAGCCGTTTGGTTAGCCATGTCGTAGCCTGAGTAGGATTGAGCAAAGATGTCGTGATGCGGAGAGCCGGACGTACCTTGGCCGTGATCTATCGCACCCCAGCATATAGACATGAGGGAGAACGAAAGGGGAAATGTGCATTTAATGTAGTCTATTGCGACGGTCAGGACTAGTTGTGTACTGAGATGAACGCTCATACCTCCCGCATCGTAGTAGCCGCCCTCGAGGTCGCCGTCCTGTATGGCACTGCTGTTCCTCCATGACACGCGGTTCGTGGACGGCAACGTTCCGCTACGCTGAGCCTCATAGAAATACAGCAAGTCACCCAACAGGTTCGACCACTGCGGGTTAGGCTTCGAAGTCGAATTGGACTTCTGGGCGCCGTTACTCGGATTGGGGGGCTGCCAAGCCGGATTGGGAAGGGCGAGTTGTGCGCGGACTACAGACGCGCCGAGAGCGAGAAGAGTTATCGAGCGCATGACTTTCAAATTGCTAGCAGCAGCGAATATTCGGATACATGAGGTGACAGTGCGAGGACAAAACGTGTACATGAAGCGGGCACGGCCATGATGACCGCGGGGATGTTTGGATGAAGGCACGGAGACAAGGCGCTCCAAGTCGAACTGCAGAACTTCCTTGACGCCATGACGTTCTTCCGCCCAGGAACCCGAGCCGCTCTCTCTTCCGCCTTCCGGTACTCTTCGGATGCTAACCTCCCTCCCCACGGGCGAGGTGGGTCGGCGACTCGATCCTTTCAGCCGGTACCGTCCCGGCCAGTCGCATAAAAATCTAGCTCAAGTCCACCCGATTCCGACATATCTTCTGCATACCCCACCATTGCTATCATGGCATCAGTCAACAAGCCTATCAACGTCTGTGTCCTTGGTGTCGGCCTCGCTGGGCTGGCTTTTCATGTACCCTTTGTGCTCGCTCTCCCCGAGTACTTCAAACTTCACGCCGTGCTCGAGCGCAACCCGAAGTCTGAGGGTGGCAAGGTCAAGGAGCGCTTCGGGGTCGCGCCACAGGTCATCCATCGCACGATCGAAGATGTTTGCGCGGATCCCGAGATCCAGCTTGTCATCGTGGGCACTCCCAATGAGACCCACTACGACTACGCGAAGGCTGCTTTGACGGCTGGAAAACATGGTGTGTCCTAATCGTTCATGTTCTATCTTCATCACGCTCATTTCACTTGGCAATCCTACAGTACTGGTTGACAAGCCAATCACTCCTGACGCGGCGCTTGCATGGGAGCTTCGCGATCTTGCAAAAGCGAAGGGCCTGGTTCTGTACCCCTTCCAGAACCGGCGATGGGACTCGGACTATCTCGCACTCAAGAGCTTGCTCGCCCTTCCCGCCACAAATGCGCAATCGCTCGGTGAACTGGTTGAATTCGAGTCCCAGTGAGTGACATGTTGGTCAGTGCTGCTGTGAATGATATTCATGGGCTGTCGCAGCATGGATCGCTACCGCAACGAGCTCAAGGGTACTTGGAAGGATGAGGCAAAGCCTGCTGCTGGCCAGTTATTCGATTTGGGCGCGCATCTTATCGACCAAGCGCTCACGTTGTTCGGCCGACCCGCCACTGTCACCGGTATAACTGAGAATGTCCGTGGTCTCGGTTCCCCTGACGTCGATGACAGCGTATGTTCATGATCGTTGAACAGCTCGCATCCGCCCTAATTTGCCTGTCCATAGTTCACCGTAATCTTGCGCTACCCCGCCGGCAAAGTCTCAAAGCACCCCTTCACAGCGATTCTTCGCGGACATATCTTGTCTGCACGCGCCAAACAGCCCCGCTTTATCGTTCGTGGTGACAAGGGCACGTACGTCAAGTTCGGCGTCGACATCCAGGAGGATCAACTCCGCGCCATGCCTAGTGCGCAAGATATCCACGGCAAGACATACGGTATTGAACCAGAGTCATTGTACGGCACCCTCGACAACCTCCGCGATGATGGCTCCATCGTTGAGTCCATATGGCCGTCAAAGGCGCCCGGGTCGTATCAGGACTTGTTCCGCAACCTAGCCGAGTCCATATTGGGCACGGCAGAACAGGCTGTCAAGTGGGAGGAGTCGGCTCTGGCAGTACAGGTCATTCAGCTGGCACACCAGAGTTCGCGTGAGGGCCGCACGCTCGCTATTCCTACGGCTTAGGCGATGGAGATGCGAAAAAGATGAACATATGTTGTAAGATGTAGTACATGTATATGGCACACGCGTATTTGCGCATGCAAGCCTGACTCCTTCCAAGTGACATAAATGGATGACAGAGATCAGAGCGAAGTGTCGCTGCTCATACGTAGCGTATGTCAATGCACCAGCTGAAGTGGTGCTGCATGGACGTTTGTGTGAGGTAGCAGACGTCGGCAACGGCACGCCGAAGAATGGTCACACGCCTTTTGCTCCGTGGCTTTTCTCCTTCAGCACTTTGATCTGACCATTCTGGAAGGTACCCGGTGCATATAACATGAAATCGCCACACGCACTCCCCGGCGCCACACCAGGCTTTGTCTCCGACCGCCATCTTCTACTTCAGTAGAGCTTTGGGACAGCTGACTGATCAAGGACTTTGTGTGACTCAGGTGGCGACTGTCATGGCTTTGGGTACTGTGGCTCGTTTACGAAGGCGCCTGCTTGGTGACGATGATTTTTCTCGCGCTGAGCGAAGATTATTGTTCAAGATCGACTGGTTCATACTCTCGTACTGTTGCTTAATGGTAAGAGTACCTCTATCGACTGTTGTTCCGCGAGTGACAATACCCGACGCGACAAGTACTTCACAAACTGTACGTTCATTCATACAGACCTCCTTGTATGCGCCGCGTCTGAACGCTAACCATGCAGATCTGGATCGTTCGAATGTCAACAATGCGTACGTGTCTGGGATGCGGGAAGAGCTGCATATGGTCGGGACGCAGTTCAACGTAGACGCTTTCTCCACATCCGGGTTCCTGCTTCTGACGCCCACGCTTATCTAGCAAATCAATACTCTGTTCACCTGCGGGTACATTGTCGGCATGATACCCAGTAAGTGTTTCGGCAGATGATGCGCGTGTGAGCGCTGAGATGGCATAGATAACCTAGTGCTGCAAGTGGTCAGGCCGCGGATATGGCTCCCTGTGATGCAAATATCATGGGCTATCTTGACCTTCTGGTAGATGAGCGTTTCGGTTACTAAGATACATCACTGAGTCATTGTGCTAGTACGAGCGTGGTCTCGAACGTGCATCAGGTAGGGTTGTAGTCATCCGTCGTCGTACGATCTCAACTCATTGTGAAATCACGCCAGATCTATGGCATCCGATTCCTCCAAGGCATCGTCGAATCATCCACCTTTGTGGGCGTGCATTACATTCTGGGATCGTGAGTTGCCCATTGTGATGCCTGGCTTCTACTGTGACACCTGTGCTAGGTGGTATAAACCCGGTGAGCTGGGAAAGCGCTCTGCGGTATTCACTTGTAGCGGACTTGTCGGAACACTGTAAGCCACAATAGCTCACGAGTGTATGCTCTGATATCGAACCTATCTCATCGTCCAGATTCTCTGGCGTTCTCCAAGGAGCGGTATACAGGTGACTCCTTTGGAATCGCGGCTTAGCGGGGTCGCTGAATTCACACCTAGAAATCTCAACGGTGTGGATGGTCGTAGCGGTTGGAGGTGGCTGTTCATCATAGACGGAATCATCACGCTTCCAATCGCATTGTACGGCTTCCTGGTTTTCCCTGACCTCCCAGCGACGACTAAGGCGTTCTACCTGACCGAAGAGGAACGTCTCTTGTCAGCAGAACGTCTCGAGGATGTATCTGACGTGAAGCGGCACAAGCTATCTTGGGGCGTCTTCAAGCGCGTTTTGGGTCGCTGGCGCTGGTACGGATGCAGTCTATTGGTCCGTATCCTCGGTCCTGTTGTGGTTATACGCTGAGGCTGACGCTCAATAGTTCGCAATATCCGGAGAAACAGAGTCTTTTGGTTCGAATAACATTATGGGCCAATGGCTCTCTGCCATAGGCGGCTACTCTGTCGAAAACGTTGATTATTACCCGAGTGGCATGACCGCTTTCGCCATCGTCTCAACCCTAGCAGCTGCAACCTTGACCGACAGAAATCAGAAGCGATGGATGGTCCTGGTCTACATGTCTGTAGCTTGCATTTTTGCGGCTATCTGCATCCTCGTATGGAGCTCGCCGACGTGGCTCAAGTTTGTGGCGTACTACGTCGCCGGCGCATCGTATGCGGGTCAAGCAACGACTTTTGCATGGGCCAACCAGATCTGCGCCGACGATGACCAGGAGCGCGCAATCGTGCTTGCATCCATGAAGTGCGCCGCTTCTCTGCCCATCTTCACAAGATTTGAATTAATGTCGGCCTGTGCAGTATGTGGAACAATGTCGTCAACGCGTGGTGGCCTCTCGTCTTCTATCCGGCGACTGATGCACCGCGCTTCAGAAAGGGTGCCATTGCGATGATCGCTGTGTGCGTAGCAACGCTGGGCGCAACATGGTTAGTGTGGTGTTTGGAGAAGCGCGAGAAGCGGACTCGGGCGGAGAGCGTGGAAATCGCAAGAGCAAGGATCGATGATGAGAAGACCCAAACGGATGAAAAGCGAGGGAGCCAGGGTTCCATCGCAGGGAAAGGGGAGAAGGATAGAGAACTATAGATCCCTGGCTCGCTCATTGTAACGAAACCTACCTCTATATGCTCACACGCGTCACAAGCGGTCGAAAACAAGTGCTCAGTGGCATTAATCGAGGTAAGGAAAGCGGCAAGCGAACGATTGATATACACGGGGTTGAAACAGCAGAACTTCAGAGTAAGCGTCTATTCTCACAAGGGAGCGACGAGCTAGTCCGAGACGGGGTCGTGAAAGAACTCAGATGCCTAGCAGGAAGAACAACGGCGGCTACATGCGCCATGAAGATGCACAGCAACGAAAGGAAAAGGGGAGCAGAGGGGGAGGGTCCGAAGGGCTAGGTAGTGCAAGGTATAATGATAGCACCGGCCTGCGGGAAGAGAGGCGGAGCGGGAGAGCGGGCGGGGTATCTTCTTTCAGCTGGGTAACGGACCACCCTCTCACTCGTTGACGACCTTGAGCGCCGACGGCCCGTCAGGTGCGCCCTCTGCGGACCCATGTTGGACCGTAGTGGCCGTAGCCTTGGTCAGGCTGACCTTACGGCCAAGCCGCACACCATTGCCAGGAGCATCGACATAGCCGAGATACGCCATGTCACTGTCAGTGGGCGACGGGGTGCGCGCATGCGAGCGATCGAAAGGCGGCGCTGCGAGCGCCACATTCGCGTTCGGGTTGAACGGGTTCTGGGCCGGCTGGAGCGACGGAGGGGGCGGAGCCTGGTTGTAAGCCGGGTATTGTCCGTACGTCGTCTGGCCGTACGCTTGCTGGGTACGCTGGCTCGGAGCAATACTCGGCGCGTATTGCGAACCGGCGTACTGCGAACCTGGAGCAGCCGGAACGGGCTTATCGTAGTAACCACCGTACGCGTTTCCACCATTGCCATACATGTTCTGACTCATGTTCTGGCTCGGGAGCGGCGGCTGGGGGTGGTCACGGTACGTCGAAGGGGCCGGGTAACGATTCGATGTGGAGCGGCTGTTGTTGCTCGATCCGGAGTTGGTGCGGTAGAGATCAGACGGGTAACCCTTCTCAGTGTCGGCAGCGGCACCACCGGCAAGGTGTGTCTGAGGAGACCAGTCGACGGCCTCTTCGAGAAGACGGTTGCGCTTGTTACGGCGAATGCACCATGTCGAGGCGATGAAGAGAAGAACAAGCACGACTAGGCCCACAACAGTGAACGTGCCGGCTACGGCCCCCTTGTTCTGTAGGAAACCTGCCGGAGCGGGCGCGGCCGAACTCGTGGACTCTGCAGCCTGAGCGGTGATGTGCGAGGTGATGGTCACGGCCTGTCCACCCTCGGTCGCTACATAGACGGAGGGTGCCGCAGTGATAGTCGAGCTAGCGGCGCTGGAAACTGCCGAGGACGTCGCCGACGAGAGCGGAGCGGAGCTGGAAGAAGAAAGCGGGGCGCTGCTCAGCGGCACCGAACTTGTAGAAGAAGATGTAGTAAGAGCACTGCTCGAGGACGAAGAAATTGAACTATAAACAATTGGGGTGGCAATGAGATTATTGCGCTTTGTTACTGGGAGGGGGGCGGCCGTGGGAAGATGGAACTCACGTCGAAGAAGCGACCGTCGCAGACGGGGTCGTGGACGCAACGGAGGAAGTCGCTGCCGCGGACGAGCTCGTTGTCGTGGCCGACGGGGCCAGGCCGCCGAGGGCGGACGTGACCTCGCCAACGCCGCTGGTGAGGCCGGCGCCGACGGAGCTGAGACCGTCGTCGAGACCGCCGAGCAAGCCAGAGTTCTTGGTTGCGGCGGCCGACGCAGCGGTGCTGGTCGCGCTCGAGTCGTCGTCGTCATCGCCGCCGCTGCGGTGGTTCAGTTTGGGGCCCGAGACGTCATGACATATGGCCAACTCACAGAACTGCAGGTGAGACAGACGCGTTTAGCAAGACGCGTCAGGACAAAGGAGCTGTCAAAGAGACTCACGACCACCGAGGAGTCCAGCCCTCTTGAAGAGCTGAACGGCGTTGTGCACCTGAACGGCCATGGTTACAACGCGAGTGACTGGAGGGGTTTGAAGAGCAATAAGGAGCGTGAGGGTTGTGTTTCCGAGTCGATATTCAAGTGGGTTTTGGTGATCGGTGGCTTGCCGTCGCCAGGTCTAGGAGCGGGAGACGAGGAGACAGAAAGGCAAGTCCAAGGTCGAAGATGGGGTCAGAAGTGAAGAGCAAAGCGATCCGCACGGCGGGTGATAGATGCGTGTTGAGACCTGCTCGCAGACCGTGTGCAAGGTGGAGCGTCGATAATATGTAGACCCCGAATCCCGATCATTCGCGTGAGCAATGGGGTGTTGCTACTCCGTTGCTATGCGACGGTCGATGCCCAAAAAGCCCGTCCCATTCAACTGGGTGCATGCGACCATATGACGATCCGTGCAATTCAACATAAGAACATCAAGCAAGACTAGCTCTACGGTAGTACAGTATTACATATATCCAAGATTCTTCAGTGCGGCGACCCGAAGCCCGGCCCGTACGTCGTCGCATTCCTTTCCATAATCTCCCTCAATGGCCCCAATAAACGCGTGAAAGCTTGAGCGTCCAGCGCCGCCACTTTGAGCTTCGGTAGGGTCGATCCGGCATCGCGCCTAACCGCGCTAACCGTCGCAGCCCGGGGCGCGAGGTGGAGTAGCGCGAGTTCTGTAAATCCGCGAAGAAGCGCGTGAGCATCGCGTCGCTGCACCGCACCGCGTAGCCGAAGAAAGGAGCGCGTAGTACGTACCTCCGAAGTAATCTCCCCGGGATAGGCGGCCGACGACCATTTCCCGTTGCTCACCCTCTTCTCCCTCCTGTAGCTGCGTCACGACCGCCTCGCCATCCTCGACGAAGAAGAAGGTGCGGCCCATCTCGCCCTGCACCACGACCGGCTCCCCGTCCTCGTACGTCTTACTCACAAGTGCATCAGCAACCTTGCTTCGCTCGTAAGGTTTGAGGGACTGGAGGAGGTTCACGCCTTCGAGGAAGTGCTCATACATCGTGCGGCGACGGTGAGCAGCCTTGAGAATGATAGTCCTGAACGTGATCCGGTCGAGAGCCCAAAGCATGGAATCGGCCATGGCGATGACCGACGCCGCACGTGGGTGGCCGTACATCAAAGCAAGCTCGCCAACGCTTGCGCCAGCAGGACATTCTGCCACCATCTTGCCGAACTCGGGTAGATGTTCCAACTGGACGATTGAGCCTGGGGCAGCGATACCCTGTGGTAGGTCCTTGGACCACCATTCGGGCAGCGGATCTGGACGGATGTAGCACTCGAGCTTTCCAGATTCGACGACGTAGAAGTAGTCGCCCGGATCTCCCTGGCGGATGAGCACGCTCAGCGCGGACACTGGCTGCTCGCGCATCGCATTGAGTACGCCCGTCTCCTGCTCCTCGTCGAGTCCACGGAAGAGGAAGTTATCTTTGATTGAGGCCCTGATGCGCGCGAGCTGCTCCTCGGTCTTCTCGAAGAACGGCAGGGGCTCGTTGCTCTCGCCGTCGAGAGAGATTGGCTCTGCGCTCACAGATGTGCGACGTTGCATGGCCATAAAGCCTGGTGGGCCGAGATAATCACCGGGTGCAGGTGACTGGGAGGGTGTGATGTGATCGTAGGTGGAATAGTAAGGATCGGACATGGTGGTGTCCTCGAACTGGAAAGTCGGTGGCGCAGATTCGTAGGTGCTTGTCGGGTCGGGCGTGCCATCAGGCGAAACAAGACGGGCGTTACCGGGCACATTTAGTGTCCCAAAAGGGTTAGCGTTCTGGAACGGACTCTGGGACGCGGATGGCCTGCGTGGCTCGCTGCTGAATGGATCCGTGAACTGTGTTCCTGCCGCCGGCGCGGCCGCGGCGCGAGCAGGGCGGTCGGTGTACAGATCGTGGGGCAGGGCAGCGGCGAGCGAGGGACGAGTCTGGATAGCATCGCGCACGCGTGTACGCTGCTCCTCGAGCCGAGAATGGAACCAATTAGCGCAGAACTGTAGCGCGTCTCGAGGCTGGGCGCGCTGAGCGTCGCGCGTGAGCTCTTGGATGAGCGTGTCAAACGTCGAAGCCATCCGTCAATCCGTCAACACAGACCGAGGTACAACAGTAGCAGTAGTAGTGCACAGCAGAAATTTGGGATATGAGAGGCGGCGACACAGGGAGAGCAGCAAGGATGAAGGCCAGAGACAAAGTCTATCCGCGCCCTTATACTCGGTTTGGGCCACCGCTTTCCATCACTACCCTCGAGTGCCCGTCCGCGCAACCCCCTTTCCCCTTCAGACGTAATCGCACAAAGACCTGCCCGTTGTATTGCATTACTCCGTGCTTCAGGTCGCGAAACTCTTTGTGGCCCGGAGTGGCAGGCAGAACGACACTCAAAAAGTTATATTGACATCCCAGATCAAAGACGCGTCGACCACACAAGGGCCGCACGCGGCCCATCACCGAGCAACATACGCAAGCGCCCACGTCTCATTCTATCATCCATCACATACGGAATACACAGCAAGAGCATTAATCACTACCCCTGGAACTCTCTACAACCGGTCCATTCAGAACGTTCACTACAGCCCGTCCGGCCCAACACGGGCGATCCATACGGATCTACTAATGACCGCTTCCACAGCGCACATCTCTCAGGCGGATCTCCTTCAAGGGTTATGCTAAAGGTACAGTGCGAAGGATGCACATCCGAGATCGCTGCCCCACCCTATCAGTAGCACATAAGGCGTCATGCGGCGTCCACATGTTGTTGGATCTTGACCGCCACGAGCCGAATACGCAGGTAGACGGGTCTCGGACCCCAAGAAAGGACAATAAGACCCGTAGTCGTCGACGCTACGATACATTGCCCGTTCAAACATACACCGACGCCTCCGTGTTTGAAGGAAGTGAATAAGATGACCTTCGGAAAGACACCCCATCTTGACTGCGACCCTACTATTCGATCCGCAGTAGTTGCCATATCGATGACTTTCGAAGCGTATGTGCGGATCGATTTAAATAGACTTTACTGTTTCGCGACGCACGTAGTCCGAGATGAGAAGAGCTGATCTGAGCGAGTTCCCGCTGCCACGTCCAGCCATCCATCCTATCCAAGTCTTCTCTTTGCCAGGAGGCAGACATAAACTACCTACAGCAACATCATCGAGGCTCATAACGAATCTCTCTGAAAACACGAAGGTTAATTCCTTTCAGCACGTCCATAGGACACTAAAATGCAAGCATTGCGTGGAAGTCAAAGAAACATACATGCCCAGGGCAAAGTACCTTCACGCAACGAGAGACGGCATGCAGATCGCATACTAGGATGCACAGCAAAAAGATGCATCATATCCCTCTACAACAGCTCTACTCATCCACCCACTCATCGCGCCCAACACGCTCTACATACGCTTTCACCCACGGCGCCCTCCGCTCATGCGCAGCATTCACCTCCGCCCTTGCTCGTGCCCTCGCCTCATTCGCCCTCCTTGCGATTTCCTCGCTCTCCTCCGTATCCTCCCTAGCAGTCAACTCCTCCTCCAGCCCTCTCCTCGCACGCAACTCAGTCCTGATCCGCCCCTCGCGTTGCCTCAGGTGTTGCCTTCGCCGATCCCAGTAGGCGGGATACGCCGTGAACAGCAGAAGGGCGAAGAACGCATATATCCTCCGCCCCAGTGGCGGGTCCTCGCGGATCCGTCCATTCAAAGCTGCCTCCTCATCCGCTAAGTTCAACTGTGCCACGCTCTCCAACGCGACTGCCGAATACGGCAAGTCCTCGCGCACCGGCACATTCGGATGCCGTGTCACACCTGCCGCCGCGCCGCCATTATGGTTGCCGTTGACATTCGCCGCGGCGGGCCCACCCGGCTGCCCTGGGGCTTCAGGTTGAGCCTGTGGCTGGCCGGGCACCGGACCTTCTTGTCCCTGCGCTGCTTGTGGCGCCTGGGGTGGCGCTCCTGGTTGGTTGTTACCGCGACGGCGCGGCGGAGGGTTGAGGCGGACAAAGGCGGCACGGAGCATCGTATATGTCTCGTAGACGAACCAGGCCACAACAGCGAATGTGATCATTGGCTTGCCCGACGGTGCGAAAAGCCAGAGTATGATAGCCGCGCGCATAACGAGCAGCATCAGAGGCATAAGGAGGGGTCTAAGCTGGATCTCGAAGACGACCTCACGCTCTACCCGCAGGCCCGGTACGCCTATCTCGCGTAAACGATCATTGATAGCTTGGACATTGTTTGCGGGCGGAGCAGCGGCAGTTTGCGTAGGCGATGGTAGAGGTTGCAAGGGGGCGGCTGGCGCATTTGCAGGAAGGTAGAGCAAAGGAAATGTCTGTTCGAGTACCTTGAGTGCATGCGCCTGGACTGGGGTCGGTGTTCCCGGTTGGACTAGGCGTAGGTAATGCGCACCACTAAGAGTAAGTTGTTATTGATATCCTGCAGAGACAACAATGCCACATACTTGATCGTTGTATGCTCGTATATAAGCGTTATTGGATCGGGCGCTTCTGGTGGGAACGGAGTATCAAAGAGCTCGGGCCAGGACCACCCAAGTGCCGCAAGACGCTGCACGGCCACTTGGCGCATGTCGTTGGTGACCAAAATGGAGTAATCAAGCTTTCCGGTGAGCAGCGCATGTAAAGCCAATTCATGCATGCTGACGATGTAGGTCACGGTCACCGCTCGGGGAGAAGGGCCGCTCATCAGAGGATGGTATGAGGGTAGGAGAGGTTGTTCAGGAGCCTGAGAGGATTGAAGCGACGATGAGAAAGGTGCTGGCGTCGGTCCTGTCATAGGCGCAGTGGTGGGTGTGGTGTACGGAGCGAACGGAGAAGGCTGGGGGTGTAGGGGTGGGGGCCACACTCCAGACCCGGTAGATCCAAGCGAGGAGGAGAGTAGTCTCGAGGCTTCCAACAGGTCGTGGTGCTGTTGTTGCGACGGATGCAAGCCATTGGAAGCGCCGGCCGAATGTTGTGAAGTTGGTGCAGGGGCAAATCTAACCGACTGAGCGGGCTGGCGAGTGAAGGACGGTCCCGATTGTGCGTATGTCGGGGTCGACATTCCCGTGACGGGCGTATGGACTAGCGAGGGAGCGACCTCGACCCTGGTATCGACAGAGGGAGAGAGATTTGGTGGCTGGGAGGTCCAGCCGTTCGGGCGCACATTGAGATGTATGGTTGTCGGCTCGTTACCCTCCTGACAACAGAGCTTTAATTCCATATCCCGATCGCATTATCCAAGTAGCGCGTTCACCGCACCGTACGTATCTCCGCCACCTTCTCGTGGTCGGCTAATAGACGCCCACGCCAGATAATACGCTGCGCATCCGCGCGCGGCTGGCCTGTACAGACACGCTCGATCTCCGCCTTCAAGTCGTGCACCGAGGACTCGGGCGCGATCTCGACAACAAACGAGTGATTGTGCGTCGGAAGCTCGACGCGGAAGGTGCGTGCAGTCATGCAGGTGATGGATGTAGAAACACAAGTCTGAGCCTGCACACACACTGGCCACACCCGAACACGCTTCTCGCCACGTACATCGATCACATAAGCCCGCGTCGTCATTGTTGCCACGCGTGTCGCACATACGCGCCTACGGGTCACGTTCGTGTAGTCGTGGACAGATCATGATTGATGTTGACATCCCATCCAACACTGCGGGTCATGATACGAACCGTCATGTACTGCCACCCCCAACATATCACACCGGTCACTCAAACATTCGGGCGGCGAGATCCCAGCCCGCGATATGATCCCAGCTCTCTTAGTTTCTTCCTAGTCTATTCTGTGCTCCGTTCTCTTACAAGTTTCTTACACAGCCGCTGACAAACGTACATGCAAGCTAGAAAGCAACCATCACCGCAATCCTAAGGTATCGCAGCCCAATGCTGTAAGATCTGCGAATCAAATCTCATATGTCTGCGCCGCGCTGACCCAAGCCCACTATGCGTGAGAGGTCGGTGGCGGTTATTTGGCACGAACTTACAGCATGTTTTTGAACTCAAATCTCAATGTGCGCGTGGATGTCGTGAACAAGAAGTTCTCTATGGGATAAACACCGAGCGTACCTGTGCCAGTGACTGGGAATGGGGAGCAATGCTGCTGGCATGCTCTTCAGCGACTTCCGACGGGACATGCTTGCTGCCCTTTTCTCTTCACCGCATCAATTCCCGTTTGCGAAAGATACTAGGACATGCTGGGGATGTATTTCCCGATCAACCATCGAGTGCATTACACACAAAGTGATGAGCATCATTACTGTACGAACACTGTGGTGCAGCTGCAAGGATGCGCTTGAGCCTTGTCCACCTTTCCTCGGCAGAACGAATGAGATGGAGCTGACACATAGTCATTCACTGAATGTGATACGTTGAGCATGCCCGGTTGCACACTCACATGTAATAGGGCCGAAAAACCGCCAGTAGTCCGGTGTGGAGGAGGATGTCCACTGGGATATCTTCATCCGTCTTCCGTCGGGAGAAGAGGACCCGCTTCGAACATTGTTGAACACCCCATCGCGGTGCTTCATGGTGATAGATCAATCAACATACATATACACAGTACCGCATACGAGTAGAACACAGCATCGAAAAGGTCGATGCCCGGGCACGGAGTTCTCTGGGGCTTCTGGGAACGAAAGAAGCTGCTATGTTATGAGGTGTAGATTTGGGCCTTCGGCGCTAACACCATATCGGTACAGTTGCACGCTACCTCGGTAAACCGATCGTGATCAAGCCCAACTTTGTCTGCGGACGAAGGAGTCAGCCTTATTGCGGGGAAGGTGGGTCGGGCGGGAGGACTTCCGCACGCAAACCGAAGGAAGAGCAGGTCGATGGCCACATCTAGACACCGCCGAGATTGCCATTCGCACTGTGTAGACGGTCACAAATGACGCGAAGCGTCCAACATGGGCGTTACCACCGCTTCGTATACCCGGTTCGCGGTCGGCGGAGGCGGGCACGGGAGTGCTCGGGGATGCTGAGAAGCTTGTTCGCAGTATCACTTTGATAGAAAGGTCGGCCTCCGGCGCAGAATCAGCGGGAATTATTCGCCGGCGGCTAACGGCGGTCATCGGGCCGCATCGCGAGCTCAAGGAGAAAGCATGTGCCGGAGAGTTCAGCGAGCATGAGGCCGAGAACTAGTTCGAGGTGTGTCTGGTTTCGCAGTTGAACGTACGACAGATGACCAGGACTGATTTTGAATTATACATCTGTAAGACTGCACGTTTATGCTGAAGAAAGAAATAGGCCTGTTTGAGAGACAGGAAGCAACAAAAAGGGAACGCGGAATGAGGACGGACAGGTATCGAAAGCGCGAGAAGGTGGGCGCGGCATAGCACCCACACAAAGAGCGCGGAACTTTGTTCTTGAGTCGAAAAGGGTGACGTACCCGAGTGGGAGTCGCTGATTCAGCGAGTTGCCCCCATCGCTTCTGGCTGTGCTACTGGGATCTCCTCTCTTTCCTGTGCTCCTAAGTGACCTGAAACTCTCTATGCATCTGTGTCTGACAAGGACTTGATCTGGAACGTCGACTGACGTAGGTTGTTCAATGGGATGATTAGCGTGTTCGTCTTGGCTCGGTATGTTAGAACTCCGGCGGCTGGGGGCGATGAGTAAAGATCTCGGATTTCGGCGCTTGAGATCATGTTGGCTGGCCGTGCGTGATCTTACGCATATAAAAATCGGAAACGCTCTGTCGCGCCGGAGTCTTCCTTATTCGCCCGCTCTCCTTCTCCCTCGCACCACTACCAGACGGCAGCGCAGTCCGTCATGATTGTCGTTCAAGGCATCACGCTCGGCTTCCTCCTGCCTTCGTTGGCGCTTTGGGGCTCGTCTTACGGGGTTGGTGCCACTCCGACCGCGCTCGCGAATGCCCGTGATTTGACCGCGTGCGATACTCCTTCGGCCGCGTATGTGTTCAGGAGGGACGAGGGACATGAGCATGCCACTGTTCACAACGAAACCGCCACCGTGGATGCCCCTCATGCCCACGCCGGAGGCCACAGTCATCCCTCCGGTCCGGCCAAGGCTACGCTCAGTGAAAGCGACTCGCACCCGCCGCCACCATCGTATTGGACCCTTGACTTTGACTCCGATCCGTCCGAAAAGCGATACCCTGGCTTCATGCTCATGCACGTCCTCGCGATGTGTGGCGCGTTCTTTGGTGCTCTCCCAGTTGGTGCGTTTCAGCGCCGGAGCCCACTTTCCGTGTGGGTCCGCCGAGCTGACTCCGCCCTCAGGAATCGCTATGCGTAGCGTGAATCACGCATGGCACGGTGCATCAGTCATCGCCTTCTGGGCTCTGGTTATTGTCGGATGTGCGTCCAGTAGCCTTTACCGGAAGCTGACGCCGAATATGTAAGTACGCGTCCTCGTACAGCGGTGACATCTCCGCTCACCCGTTTCGCAGGTACGAGGGACAGGTGCACTCGAAGCAATCATACTACGTGTTACTCATCGCACTTGTTCTCACCATCATTGACTTCGCCGCCGGGATCGGACGTTTGATCCAGTACGCGAAGGATGTCAAGAACGGCGAGGCATTCAGCTTCCGGGCGCTCTGGCGCCAAGTTGTGCTTAAGCAAGATGGGCGCTCCGTGTTTGGCCACCACGGTGCTGAGTATGCCAACCTCGTTGTCGGAGAACCGGAAGAGATGGAACTCGAGGACGATATCATCAAGCCACACAACGGTTCCCGGCACGTTGTATTCGACGATCAACATGAAGAGGATCGTGGGAGTTCGAGCGAAGATGCACAATGGGCCAATCATGATTACCCGGAGACGCCCAATTCTGAGCGTACCGTGTTTGAGCGTCTCACTCGCACCAACTCGCACCAGTCGCACAACTCGGACGAGACTCTCAACGTCGACTTCGGGGCAGCCGCCAGTGCTGCGCCCACAAAGTCGTTTGCGCGTCGCGTCGGGAGCACCATCTTCAACGTCCTGGAGCGTGTTTTAGTTTTTGCTGCGTTCGGCGAGCTCACCGTCGGGATTGCAATCTATCTCGGGGGCTGCCGGGGGTACCGCATCAATGTCTGCCTCGCGCACGTCATCAGTACGTGGTCATCGAAAGTTAAACCCCGAAGCGTATACTCACTCGGACCTATAGAGGGCGGCATCTTTTGGTGTTATGGCCTGGTCACGTTCGCTCGTTTCCTCGGCTCGTTCTCTAACCTCGGCTGGGCATGGAACCGCGCCCCTAAAGGACGTCCGGTTTCCGCCGAGTTCGTCGAGTCTGCGGTCATCTTCACGTACGGTATCACCAACGTTTGGATGGAACGTTTCGGCGCTGCGCCCGGCTCGCCGTTCACGACGAAGCAGATCCAGCACATCTCCATCGCGGCAATGTACTGGTTTGCCGGCATGGTCGGTATGGGCATGGAGTCTCGTCGTCTCCGCCGATGGATGTCTGCATTCGCGACAGCTTCCATGAATCCGTCCGACCGCCGAAGCAGCGCTGTTGCAGAACCTGCGACGTACTTGGCGAGCTACAACCCGTTCCCAGCGCTTTGCATCGGGGTCACTGGTATCGCCATGAGCGCCCACGCGCAGAACTACGTCTTCCAGGTCAGTGTCCTGTTCAAACCACCTATCCGTATCGACTGACGTTTTCCTGCAGGTTCAGATCCATGCGCTCTGGGGCTACGCACTTGCTGGCTTCATGGTCATGCGTTGGGCGACGTACTTCTTTACATGGCTCGGTCCTCCGCGCTCAATTCTGCCTTCGCGCCCGCCTAGTGAGGCTGTCGGTGCCTTCATGCTCGCCCTGGGCGGCCTCGTCTTCATTCTCAGTTCTGAGGAGATCACGATCGGTGCCATGCGCATGGGACATGATGGTGCGTTCTGCTCTTGCTGTGGCTCGTCACATAGAACTTACATTGCTTCTTAGACGTGATGATGTTCGCGAATGCTGCAGTGGCATTCACCTGCATCGCATTCTGCTGGGTCATGGCTGTTGTCGGCGTCAAAGCCTGGCTCACAACACGTTCCCTCCAGGGCAAGGTGTCTTTCCATGATTCCGCGTAGCGAAACCCCCTCACAGTTCTCGTCCCGTTCTGGTCTTGTTGGTCAGTCAGTCTCGGTCCTGTACTCGTGTATAATCCACTGCTTTGTTTTCCATCCTGTTACTCTTGCTGTTGTTGCTGCCCACTTCCTACGACCCACCCATGACACCATCGTATTCAACTCCGGATTGCGTTGATGCCCTAAATATCGTTATTCTCCACCACTATGATCTTTTGGCCAGGCTCATCCCTGTCATGTTTCTCCGCGCTGTGTTTGTCTCCGGTATTACGGTTACGGTAGATCAATCAAACATTTCATGCAATACCCTGCCACGGAGAAGTGCACGCAAAAGGCCGGCTTTACAATATTTTGTCCGATACGGTCACGCGTCTATGAAAACGCGACGCGCGACGAGAACGCGCAGCCATGTCTTTTGTTCCTCGCCTCCGGTTGCTCGCGCAATGTGGTTCGCGCACTAGTCTCACCTCTGTGCGTCGACAGCTACCGTTGAGCGCCCCTCGTCACATATCATATTTCTCTCCTGCTCGTCGAGACGCCAGCCATGCTCAAACTGCATCTTCTCACCCGCTACCCGTACTATCTTCCAGCTGGGTCGAGCGCGCGCCGAAGGGCTTACGTCCCTATCTGTACTTAACACGTATCGACAAGCCTATTGGAACATTACTACTCTTCTACCCATGCAGTGCGTCGTCTACGCTTATGTACCTGAAATGTGAAGCTGAACGGAACTCCAGCATGGTCTATCACCATGGCGTCGTATTCCCTCAACACGAGCCCTACTGTTCCTCTCACCTACATCGCGCTCTTCGGCGTCGGTGCGCTTGTCATGCGTGGCGCTGGCTGCACTATTAATGATATGTGGGATCATAAGCTTGACAAGGCTGTCGGTTCGTACGCCTCCTTTGGTTACTCTTATTCCCTCACCTGAACCGTTGCTATGACAGAACGCACACGAGCACGACCGATCGCCGCGGGAGACATAACGCCTCGCCAGGCATTTTGGTCGCTTGCGCCCCAACTCTCCGCCGGGCTGGCTGTCTTAACGCAGCTCAATTGGTACAGGTGAGCTCGCCTGACGTCTATCGAATGCCCACTCTCATGCAATTTCAGTATCCTGCTTGGGGCATCGTCACTCTCCTTGGTGGTCGTCTACCCCTTCATGAAGCGCATCACGTATTGGCCACAGGCCGTCCTCGGGCTGGCCTTTAATTGGGGCGCCCTGCTTGGCTGGTCTGCCGTTGCCGGTTCCGTCGACTGGGCCGTCGCGGCGCCACTGTACGCAGGCGGTGTGCTTTGGACGCTCGTATATGACACAATCTACGCGCATCAAGACAAAGCCGACGACGTACTTGTCGGCATCCGCTCGAGTGCGCTCTTCCTCGGTCGACGCACCCGTCCAGTACTGGGAGCTTTCTCCGCTGGCGCCGTCGGCCTCATCTCATATGCGGGTTTCCTAAATGACCACGGTGCACTCTTCTTTGCGGGAGCTGGTCTCGCTGGTGCCCAACTAGCACGTATCGTGTGGCGCACAAATTTCGACGATCGGAAGAGTTGCTGGGACGGGTTCGTCGGGTGTGGGAAGGCTGGGTTGCTCATCTGGGCAGGCGCAATCGCCGATTATACGTACATGAAGGTCACACAGACCGACGAGCCTAAGAAACAGGACTAGCACGCCTTCAAGCACTCATCGCAAGGGGGGGCAATCAAGCAGATATCTTGCAATTCCTATTTCCTATGGAAGATCCTATGCGGCAGCGGTAATATACAGGACACCGAGCACAAATCCAGCGATGTCCGTGTGTGTGATGAGTTCCAATGTGAGAGAGACTACGCTCCCCAGTCCTTGGCGAGCTTGAATGCCCATTCCCATTCTATACGATGAAGGGTCAGCATCATGCACTGCACGACACTAGTGCAAGGCACTCACCAGCGAAGATACCGCCGTCGAAATCGTTCACGCGGCTCTTGACAGAGTACGACCCACGGGCGAGCATACCACTTGGGAACTCGTCTTCGACGACAAGCACGCGGCGGGGTTCCGCTGCAGCAGAGAAAGAACCGATCATCGCGTTTTCCTTGTCGACCGTAACACCGCTGCGCTTCACCACCTGAGCATAGCGCGCGCCCTGTGATGGAATCTAGGTCAATGCGTGCATAGGACAGACGAAACACTCGACGCACCGTGACAATACCGTGGTTTACGTTGAAAGTGATGTACATTCTGTGTAGTAGCCCTAAGTACAGCCATGCTCTATCGCATGTAGAGGTACATACTTGTAATCGGCGCCCTCCTTGACCTGGATCGGAGACTCTTTGAGCTTCGCGATCGCCTGTGGGCTGGAGATGTCCATCTTGCGGGTTGATCCAGCTGGAAGCTTAGACGATTCAAGCTCGAGGTACTGGACAGTGAGCTGCGTAGTAAAGTTATGAGAGCCAGGCCGACATGCGATATTGATGGACGAACCCGGGGCTTGCTGGTGTCGCCGACGTAGGCATCACCGGTCAAACCAAGGCTGGCCTTCCAGCGCGCGAGGGAGTCGTCATTGGCGTCCAGTTTCGCGTATTCGTCGACCGACTTGGCAGCCGAGGGCTTGTAGCCTGCGAGTACGAAAAGGTTGAGCGCGTGGCATCACAAGGCCAGGCGTACGGATACCAACCAGGGGTGTTGGCCTGCTCGAACTCATCATCGTTCTGCGATGATGTTACTTCGACTGCGGAGGGCTTTCAGATCCTGACAGCACTCACGGGGGCAGACATGATGATCGTGTACTCGAATTAGGAAGAAAGGTGGTCGTCAAGAGCAGGAAAGCCTCGTTGCCGCCCGTTTCGTTCACGGGTCTCGACCTCGCTCTGATCATCGCGATTTCTCACGGGTGCTATATCTAGATCGCTGGGTACATGCACGACGGAACCATACTACAGACGGCAGCTAGCCTCTTCTACACGAATGCTTCCTCCAATAGCCTGATCCAGATTTAGATAGCCTTCTCCCTTGCCCCTGGACCCCATGTCGGCGAGGTGCGAGAAAACTGAGAACGATGCATCCCAGCTGCAAATAAGATATGAGCAGAGGTGCACAGGAATTCAGCGGACATATTGACCTGCTTTGAATCGGCATGTACCCTTGGAAAGGTACCGACACTTGATACCTTGCGGACAGGTATGGCCCCAAGCACACTTGGCGCCGAACCAGCACTCTTGGCCTGTTACAAGTATCAGCAAACTGTAAGCTTACAGGAGTGAGAACTCGAACCGTTGTTCACGTAGGAGCATGGCAGGGCCTTGGCGATTTTGCCAAGTTCCTTCAGCTGCTCTTCCGTAAGCTCATACTCGTGCGAATAACGGCAGCGATCCTGCAATGGTATCAACACTGGGTGAAGATCCTTGCTGACTTGGGTAGTACTCACTGCCTTTGGACATTCTCCCATGAGGTAGAACTCGTTACATGGATGAGGGTTTTGTCTATCTAAAGGCTGTTCATCGTCAGCCATGGGAGATGCGTACACGGCTGACAAAGCGTACCATATTTGGGTTGATGATAGGCCGCTGTTTGAGTGATGTGATGGGGGAACTGAAAGCACTGGTAGGACTTGAGCTTGTCGGAAGCGGGGACCGAAGCCTCAAAGGGCTGATTTGCTCGTTCTCAGAAGGGCTCTTGTCCTCGACAGGCGACTCTTCTGCTAAGGCATCTTGTGTATCAATACTTTCGAGGGCGACAGTGACCGGGGCACTGCTCCCGGAGCTCCGAAGGAAGTAGAGCTTGTCGCGAGCACCAATGACCTCGAGTGTCTCGGAGATACTCGTCATCGGTGATTCGTAGCCACCTAAGAATGGATCAGACGGCATGATCATTGTTCGCGGAAGAATAAGCTCACTAGCAAAGAACACATGAGTGACTTCGGGTAGCACTGCGAATGTTCGAAGATGAGCTATCGGATGTTCGTCAGTGACAGGCCGCATGCGCTCGCGCTCAATCACTAGACATACTGAGTATCTTGTCGTCAACTGATTCCTGGTCGATGACATCCACGATACTGATCAAGGACGAGGCCTGACTGAACCCGGCCAAGAAAGCATCGATCACGCCAGGCTCACATACGCCTCGACCCTCCAAGCTTTCGACGAGCGATGCCTTTGCACAGTAGACAGAGATGGTTATGTTGAGTTCGCCAAGGCTAGAAATTCCGTTCTTGGATGAGTCCAAGCGCTCCTGGATACAGCTGAGAAGCCGCTCTGCCGCGAGGCGCCCACCCACAAAACCACGATGCAAGTAGGGCGTAGAGAACATCGTTCGTGAACCATCTACGACGCAGAGAGCCAGCATGCCCTGTTCATCGTCTCCAGCTGCGGACACGCGGCCCCAAATGCCTATGTCGTGTTCGAGCGCCTTGATCGCCGCTCTTAAAGTCTCGTTATCGTTGACTGTGGCGTCCGCCAAACCTGCACATAACATAGACTCGGCAAGAAAGTCGATGACAGAACAACTGTGGCGCCCACCTTTCATGTTGTTGCAAAGCTCGCTCCTAATATATGGAGTGAGCAACGAGAGTACACCTCGGACGATACGGATGCTTACCATCTGCCCCTGGAAGCATTATCTTGAGTCGCCATGTTTGCAAGTTCTGGGGAAGTCGCAAGCCGGGGTGGGCATCATGATATAGTATCTGGGGCAAGGGCTCAGAGTTCTGGCGCCGCCTGCTCGAAGCCTCGAGGTGTAGGAGATCCAAGGAGACTCTGAATGGGAAATGGAAGAAGGAGTCATAGGATCACATCGAGGAACAGACTAGGCGCTGGATAGCTGTGGCAATAAGACCGTCTACGATAGAGCAGACGATGAATGCAGTTCGCGGATCCATCTCATCCTCGCAAACGCAAATGTAGAGGGAAGAGGGGGATGAAATGCCTCCATATTCGGTACGATCCCGTATAGCTTGTGTTGGGCGCCCGGGAAGCCTGGGAGAAGCTTTACGCCACACGTTAATAGATCGCACGGCCTGGAATCCATGAATCAGACAGTCAGCGATGCGTGTCGGTTTCAAGAGATGCGCGTAGTGGCTTGCGAAAAGCCTTTCATAAGTGACGAGCGCAAGGGCCAAGGTGAGCCATCAAGGCAGCTGCGGTTCCGAGGTCGGGCGTGGGAGAACCACAAGCTTGGTTCGACTTTGATCGACGCGCGAGTTTACGCGGACAGCTTGGGGTTTGCCTTCCACCACCACCGCCACAGCATCCTACTCGCGTGCCTGCCGTCATGTCCGACCTGTATACCTCTCTCAACGTATCACCCAGAAAGAGGCGTGCATCTCCCGACTCGGACGATGAACAGACGCTCACGCCCAAGCGCCTCCGCCGCACGGCGCCCTCCCCGCAAAAGACGATCAGGGCCACGAGGACGCAGTCGGGGGATGGCTCGCTCTCCGAGCTGCCCGGCCACCTCGCCCGCTTGGTCAAGATCCAGGGTGCGCTGCAGCTTGCCATGGCGCATGCACTCGCGACCTCTGCGCTCGCGCCCTCCTCCGACACCGGCGTCGTGCGGAATGTGCTCGACCATCACACCCTCAACTCCCAGGCCGGTCTGTCCGTCAGGCTAGACGTCGACGACATCTGCCGGCTATGCTGGCTATGGGAGTGGGACGGAAAGTCGATCTCAACCAAGGGGAAGGGTCGCATGGTCACCGTCGAGGACGACGACGAGAACCCGTTTGCGGCCGAGTCTTCTGCTCCGAAAAAGGCCGCACCGCCTAAGGATTGGACTCGGGGAGGGATGGGCTTTGTGATCAGCCCCACCACCCGCGTTTCGAAGACGTCGCGCATTCCCGCCTATGGCATCGGCATCGAGGTTGAAATGGATCTCGACAAGGACATGGTCAGTGGCATGGCCGCGGTCGCTCGCTGGACCACCGGTGGAGACGCTCGTCGCCGCGACCTTCATGAGAAAGTCCGCAAGTGGAATGATGTACGTATCCTATCATCGCTTCGACGCGTCCGTCATTGAACATTGGCGCATTCAGCTTCACAAAGACGCAGATAGCGTGCCCAATGTTCCCTTAGCGGACCTGCCGCTTCTGCATACTCCGGCGACCCCATCCAGCCTCACCCGCTTGCTCGCATCTGCCTCTCCCAAGTCACCCGCGGCGCAGAAGATTCTGGCAGCACCACCTTCACCCACTTCCTTCGTGAAAAAGGGCTCGATCTCCCCGTTGAAGTCCCCTGTCAAACGTGCACTTGCCGCGCCGGACTTCTCCTCCGCTCTAGGCGCCACGCCCAAGGCAAAGGCAGGCAGCATCTTCCCCCAGACGCCATCGTCCCGCCACTCTCAAACGCCCTCATCTCGCCACTCACGATCCGATGACCCGTTTGGCTTGCTCACGCCGCGGACGCCTTCTCTGTCTCCCTCTCGTTCATCTGTAGCCTCCGACTCTTTGCCGTCAACGCCCGTGGGTCAGCGTGGCTCAAAGGCGGCGACTGCGCCCGAGACGCCCGTCAGCTCGCGTAGACAAGCGCTTATGGATCGTATCCGCGAAAAATCTCTCGCTTCGCCTACCAAGAGCCCACTCAAGAACAAGATTGGCGCCGAGACGGAGAAGATGACTCGGGCCGAGTTGCAGAAGTTGAGCGCTGACGAGATGCGGCGTCGCGTATTACTCGGTCGACTTGGAGATGTCGCTGAGAGCATCTGGATGTGAGTTGGTGTTGCCACATTCAGGCGTGATGAGTATTAATCATTTGTACAGGTTATTCGCCGGACCGTCAGGATCTGGAGGTGCCGCGGCGTCGCGCAAACGCAAAGCGATTCCACAATACGAAGTCGTCGAAGCCATCCTCAAGTCTTCCCCCGTGCCACTTTCGGCAGCCGAGGCCCAGGAGTCGATCTCTATCCTCACTTCGCTGTGCCCTTTCTTCTTGCGCGCGGTAAACATCACCGGTGAAGAGTGGTTGGAGATGCCAACGAATGCCCTCACGCCCCCGAGCCCTGGACCTACCAAGTCTACGAATCCTGATGCGATCACGCGGAGTCCTCGTCGCGTGAAGCACGAAGGTGGTGGTTTACGTGAGGTCCGCGAGCGCGTTCGCAAGGAACTCGAGTCCATGGACTAATAACCTTGCTCTTTTCATGCTTTGGTCTGCTTACCCTTGCTGCTGCCTTTTATCCCTTGTTTTGTTGCAAATATTCTTTTGTACTTGCATTCTACCATTGGCATGCCTACGGGCTGTCAGCTCTGCGACACATCACTATCCGCGATACATACTACCACCGACCCCCTCCCTTCACATCCTCATTCACACCCTGCGATACCTCACACGCTACTCCCCAACATCCTGCGATACACCCTTCATACTGCCCGCCCATCCTACTAGTAGCTCCAACCTACCTCACGCCTGCCATGATATCAACGCGACTCATGCTTCATATACTGAATGGTCCACGCCCTTGTTGCAGTGATTACTGACATGCGGCTTAGCATTCCTGGAACTCGATGGATCGATGATATACTGATACGAGGCATGAGGGAGGTACATGGCGAGAGATGAGTACAGCTGCTGGCAGCAGTCTACAGTTTATTCTGTTCCCAAGCGGCGCGAGCATCCTTCTCGAATTGTGCGCAGTCCACCGTCACGCCCTTCCGTCTGCTCTCCTCCGCTGCGAACACCGTCAGATGGCTATTCAACACGTCGGAGACGTCGGTGCCGAGAATATCCTGCCTTCCCGTTCGCACAGCCTCGATGAAGGTACGGATGAGGCCGAGGTCGCCGCCACCGTGGCCGCCGCCTTCGCGAAGAGGCGAGTACCGCTTGGACGTGTTTGCGCGGAAGTCGTTGACAGTAAAGTCAGTCATGTCCCCGATGATCTCTCCGTGCGTGAAGTGCAAGCGCGACTGGCGTTCGCACTGCAGGAGGGTGTATGCGATCATAGTGAACGACGCCGTGGCACCGGACACGAATTGGATATTCACGACCTGATTGTCACAGACGTCGTTCTCGCTCTCGTACACGCACTGGCCATAGGGGCCGTTACGCAGTGCGTCCCCGATGTTCTCTATGTCTGCTAGGCCATCAACGATGACTGCCGCAGGCCAGCCAGTATTCCCTGCAGCCACAGGCTCAAGATAGACTGTGTCGATCAATCAGTACACAATATACGTGACAAGTGCCATGTGCCTACTCTTCTTAGCGCTGTATGCGCAAGAACGCTCCATGGGGCAGTCGAGGCACCGAGTCGCTTGACCGGCCGGTTCAGGCTTGGCCTCCTTGCGGAAGTGTCGCAAACCCCCAAAGGACGATATACGAGCCGGTTTGTCGGGTGATAGCCAATGGCACATAATGTCAATATCGCTACATGGTTGCACTTGTGAGATAATGGTCTGCAATGTCAAAAGACGCGGCGTACTGGCAACTCTTGGTCATGAGCGAAAAAGAGGATTCCTTCTCCTTTGCCCAATTACCGCGCACATATGAGTGGGTGAAGTGCGTGTGGCCAATGGGCTCAATGTGCACGACGTTGACAAGATCTCCGAGCCGTCCGGAGCGCAGGACCTCGGACAGCGCTTGGTTATAAGGAGAGTATCGCAGCACTAGTTGATGTCAGCTTCAGCCGCTCTGAGCGTGCATATATGCGCACCATGTCCCATGCCAAAGATCACGCCCGCCTTTTTGATCGAGTCCTCGATGCGCAGACAGTGCTCGACGGAGGTAGCCATAGGTTTCTCACACAGGATATGGTATCCCTGCGCGGCAAACGCCTCTACGAGTTCGGCGTGCATGTGGTCCTGGACCGCGATAAGGACGGCGTCTGCAAGGCGTTTACCGATCGTCGCAATCGTCTCTGCGGATGCGGCGTGGAAGTCCTTCCAGCTTCCGAAGATGAGGCTGCCGTCGACAGAATGCTCTTTGGCCATCATCGCGCGCGTCTTCGGGCGAGGCTCGGCCACGGCCACGATCTTGCACGCATCGGGGTGGCGCTCAGCGTACACCGCATACGCCTAAGCATCGTATATGACTCCCTGTCAGACGTACTTCCAAGGAGAGGCATGATAGTGCACACCCGTCCGCGCTGACCGCAGCCCATGACAGCTACCGTGACCGGTGAAGTAGACGGCCTGATTTCCATGCCCGGCATCGTGGAAGGCGACGACTTGGAGGTTCAAGGAGCAGCAGAGGGTGGCGACGAGCGAGGAGTGCTCGATAGGCCAAGTAGCGCCATGGCTGTATGTTTATACCTGAGCAGGTGGCCCTGGATCTCGTGGTCGATCGAGAACTCGTGCGGAACGACGGCCGTTATCAGAGTGCTCCGGAGGCAATCCGAGGCGATTCATTGGTCGAGCGACGCTTTTCATTTACAGGCGCACATGTGTGCTAGGTATCGTGATATGCAAGGCACAAGTAACCATAATGTACATGTTTAGTATATACTCCAGGACTCCGCGGACAATAGGTATGAAGTAGTATGTATGTGCCCCGTCTCATAGGAAACTCAGCAAAGGGTCCATATCTGCCATGCTAGGTCCAGGAGGTGCCGGCGGCTGTTGGCTCGTTGGCGGCTGTGACAGGCCGGCGGGCGCGTGATCCGAAGGCCAGAATGCATCTAGTTCAGCTTGCGTTCCCTGACCAGCTTGACCGGTTGCGGATGAAAGAGAGGAGAAGAAACCATTCCAGTTGGAGGAACTGCGATGCGAGCTGTCAGCGGCGGGCTTCGGATGCTAAGAGACGTCAAACTCACTCGACGTTGAACGAAAAGTCTGGCCAGTTAGAAGTTTCATGAGCGGGGGGTGCCGAGGAGCTGGTGGTCGTGGATAACGCCGGTGTTTCAAAGGAAACCGCACCGAATCCGAAGGCGGCGAGGACGTCGTCTATCTCTGCATTTGCCCCCGAGCTAGATGTCGCGCCGAATGGGTCGGGCGCTGAATTAGCTGAGCTATAAGAGGCGGGGTCCGCCATCGAAGTAAGAGGGACGTGTAGTGGCAATCGACCGAGGTCACTAGTGTGAGCAGGGATGAACGCCGGAGCATTATAGAAGCCGGAGTTAGTGCTGGCTGCAGAGGATGACCCCGGTGGACTTGGGATGCTACTAGAGCCGCTCGAAGTGAAATCCGTAGTGGGCAGTGCTTCGGGCGACGCTTCGTTCGAGGGTGGGAGAGAAGGAAGGGGAAGGTCGCCCATGAAGACAAGCTCGTACAGGATGTCCCTATGGTGTTATTAGTACACGATAATGGCTGGCCGCAGGCGGAGCAACCACGTACCAGAGTCGCCCTGCGATTGCCCATCTGCAATCACGATGAGCTTAGGGTCACTCGCGAGTATTGCTGAAGGTTCATACCGCGGTTCAGCATCTTTGAGTATCTCCATGCATTGACAGATGCGTTCCATGTCCTTCGTGGTATCAATGGCCATGCCATTCCGCCTGGCACCCCAAATACTAAATATGAGGACAAGCGAGGATGTGAAAGCCGCCATCTCATAGTTCTAGCGTCAATTGAAAGGAAGGCATATAGCGGCGGCACAGAAAACGTACTTGGAAGATGAAACCACGCCACTGAGGAAGCCGCCTGCGGCACGATGATATGATCTGGCAGCATGAACGAGCAGCGTTTGTGCATATAGCCAAGGAGGGGAAAGTAGTTGATGCAGGTTTCTGCGGCGTTGGGATAAAGCAGCGATGGATCATGATCTGAAGCTGTTGCAGACATGTTATCAGCACCCCCCTATGAGCATCCCAATCTACTCTACGCACCTCGTAATATTGGGCATACATGCACCCCGATTGGAGGACGAAGACAGGATCCGTGCGACTAGGGTCCCATTTCACTGGTGATCGTTGATTATAGGTGTCCATGCACGTAGAGAGAAGATAAGTACATACAATGTTCAGGTATATTGTCCACCCATTCGTTCAGGGCGGAGTCCAGAGCTGTGATAACCCTCTGAGGCACGTGCATGAGCGTTGATCGGAGTGAAGCGTTCAGTACACACACCTGCTCCCACCCCTTTCCAATGAGCTCAAGTAGGATATTGGACCGCGAATCTAGAGAGAACTACCGCCGAGACAACACGTGAGCTAGCGAAGGTAGGCAGCTTGATCTACGTACGATGGAGCGTAGAGCTACGCCAAGCACCCTGCTGAGCTTAATCAGAGTTATGAAGAAGGCAACCCGGGATGGTCGTCCTGCTGGCTGCTTGAAGGCTTGCGAGGGGTCGGAGGTTTCCCAATACTCGTCATCAACATCGATGGGAAGGTCAAGATCGAAACTGATATCAAGTCAGTAAAGCATACACGTTTTGTGTCGTCTGAACGCACTCTTCTTCGTGAACCGAACACGAACGACCCAGCTGGGCACTGAGCCACCTATCCATGATAACCAAGATCCTATGAACAACCAACATGAGCGACAGCTATCTCGCGTTACGAAGGCACGAACCAGAAGGCGCGTTTCCATTGCTCCTCATCTGGATCGGGTTTATCATTGTGATAAGCCTTCTTCTTGTGAGCGCCAACATCCATGGCAAGGCGCAGGGCCATCCCACACCTGTGTTTGAGATCAGCAGGAGTGTAACACGAATAAAGGAGCGAATTACGTTGTCCAGCAAGTCTGAGGCATGGATGAACCCTCGAGGTATAGACAGAAAAGAACCTGGAGCTGGATATCGTGCAGAGATGGAGAGGACATCGACGGCTTGTAGTACATCCTAGCTTGATGATAGTACTTCCATCCGGCAGAAAACCACGAGTCCGTATATAGGACCCTGCTGTCGTTGCAGAACCTGGATGCGATAGCGCAAACAACGAGTACCATGGCTGCGAACGCTCCATCCCGATAGTGCAGACCGTTGGATAGCTTCTTCATAAAAGTTGACTGGTGCAAGAGCGGAAGCACATGTGAGCGGGTATTGAACCATATGTCGAAAAGCGAGTACACTGCGAGGGGTGTGAGGTGATAGGATGATCAGATAGGGGTCTGAGCTTACTGAGATCGGTTGGCGGGAAGTCAAAGAGACGGGCGTCAAACGTCGACTGCTCCCACTGACACTGTATGACAGATTAAGGGCATGATGAGACCATGAAACTTGCGCATACACGTACCGCATGCGAGTCCCAGAAACTATCGCGTTTAGCCCGCATATTGCGAGGATCTAGCCGCTGCCTGAGGGAACCTTCGTCCTTCATCTCTGTCCATCCTATCAGTACAGTATACGACGTGCGCATGGATGATGTTTACCCAGAGCAGACTTTATGAGGGCAACACCACTCGACTTTCCAAGAACGCTTCCTCTGCCTAGGAAGCGGTCCACGATATGAACGTTCTCCATGCGGTGCTGCAGACTCGCCAACTTGAAAGTCTCGTCATCGCTCGATTCGGGTTCATCCTTGACACCAACACTTAAGTTGATTTCTGAGACGTCCCCACCGTTGGGTCGAAGCAAATTCGCGTTGGATCGCTGAGTTTCCATCCATCTATCAATGTCGGAGGGAATACCAAACTCCAAGGTTAGATCGAGGTCCGGGTGATGCTGAACATGTCATGAGTATCATCGCAGAGGCGTATACACTTTGCTTACCCGGTACAACCACGCAGACATGAGCTTCACAGAGCGCTCTAGAGACTCAACATACCTGCGGATGACGTTAGGTCCGAACGGGCGAGAGCCGCGAGTGTGGAAGGAACGAACTCTTCCGGGGTACCATGCTTCTCCTCCCTATCCCCATGCGTATAGCTACAATCGAGCTGATGGGTCCTACAATAAGTACACTTGTTGCCCCGTGCCGCTGCCCAGTCACCTATATAGTCGGGTTAGCGGGCGCGGCAAAGCGGATGGCAGCTGGCCAAGTGACGGAATTCCGAACATCGAATCTTCTTGCGTTTACAGGTGTCGCATCTAACCATTATTAGCACCCTATAAAGCCAATACATGCATGCAAGCCACACTCACGCGCGCTGCAGCCGGCGAATACGTTTCTTCGGCTTGGACGACTGTCGTGAGTCGCTTCCGTTCTCCTCTGCAGACGACATGGGTGTGCAAAGGAAAGATTCCGTATTAGGAGCTTCCCCAGCGCGCGCGACTTGGCGAAGGTCCACTAATTACGAAGCTGTGCGGCCGCACCGCCGGCACCGACGTGATTCGGTATCGAGCGCGCTCACGTGGCTCACACGTCTCTCTCGACACGACCGCGACGACAGCGCGGAGGGCGCGTTCATGCCGAAGCTCATATCTCGTCTGGTTCGAAGGCTCAACCAGAATAAAAGCTCTCATCAACAGGATGTCTATTCGCCTAAGCGAAAAACTCGACCAAAGTCTCTGTTCACTGAACGTCCTCCCCCAATAGACTGGATCGGCCCCCGTTCGCAATCTGTACTTCAGGATGATGCAAACCCTTTGACTCAAAGACGCCTCTTCCAAGCGCACAAGCGGCTGGCGCCCCGCATCTTGCACTCACAGCTTGTACTGCCTCAGCCGTCTTCTACCATCGCTGATGACGGACCGCGTGAAATGACGGAGGAAGAACGGCAATGGTGGGCAAATCCGTACTGTGCGCAGTGTTTCAGGAAGTGAACAAACGAAGTTGCTAATAATAGGCAAACCAAGTGCGAATGCTAGCTTCGCCTCTGCGGAAGTGTATCCTAACAGGAGTCAACCTACCCTCAGGTAGGCAAACCAGCTTGCCTAAAAATGGCTGTAGTTCATGTGTGTTGTCAGATTTTCTTATCCGTGTCACTCCTCGACGAGTATCTCTCGCTCAAGGGCTCTCTGGAAAAGGACAGCGCTCTGTGGCTGTTCTGCTGGGCGACGGGCTAGAACACCCTAAGTTTCGCAGTCTTCGAGACCGACGAGGCTTCTATGTTCTATGTCGGGCCGACGTGTTCGATAGGTTCCAAATGCAATGTTAGTGCTTCTTATATCTGTGCTACACATTCTCTTACTTCTTCACACAGCTACTTGGCGCAAGTACCTTCGGGATAACCCAACTGTCGACGCACCGAGCATTGTCGCACAAATTGGCCATTTGCTTCGCTTGCGGGTGATCCAGGAGATTGAGTTGCTCGCTGCCAGGCTTCAGACACGGCCCCAAGGGGCTTGTGAAGTGCCCCTCGTTCGCAGATTAACTAGGGCGGAGCTTGCAGCCCTTCGTGCGACGGGTGCATTGCCCTATGATGATGTTACGGCCGTCCTAGTATTGCCTCCATTGAATAAGGACCCAGACACGAAATCACGGCCTGCACCGAATGCGACGCCTTCACCCGATTCTACTGCTGGGCAACTAGTAGGGACTACCGCTTCACGATTTCCGGCATCCGAGTTACTATCCCCCATACTGGCCGAGGACAGCGATGATCTGCCGCCAGAGGTGCAGCCGCGTCGAACACCATTTTACAACGGCGTCACATTGTTTCCTTCTCGCGAACAACGCGCTGCTCTACACGATGAGCTCTCAAATCTCTTGACGATCGAGAGAAGAACTCGGTTCAGCGAGCGCGGTCGAGACCCGCACAGCCGGAAGAGCGATGGCAATGCCCGTGCCAAAGGCGATGAGAAAGCTAGCCATGCTTTCGTCATACGTTCCGGGACGTCGACTCTAACGCGCGCGGATACCGTCCCAGTGGCCGTTGCATTGTGGCGGTTGCGGATGTGGGAGGGTTCTCCCTGGCGATATAATGCAGGGACTTGGCTGGACATTGCGTAGCAGAGGCCTAACGTACCTACACCCCTCAAACTAAAGTGAATGAGCCCACTATCGAAGCCAGATCCATATAATACAGTACATTGAGACGGACTTGAGATCTCCTAGCAAGCGGATACACTACTCAACAACCATCGGGACTACCTGCGCATTTGTGTGTTTGCTGACAGGCTTCCCGAGTACTTCGTGACCTTCCCAGAACTTGGGAAGTTCGTTACCTGGAACGAATAGGCGTTCCACACCACCCTCAGTAATGACAGCCATACGAATGACACCTCCGGAAGACCCATCGCGAGACATGGCAAGAGACAGCGCTGGCAACGGATTCAGAATGTGCAACACCGTGATGGGACAAATGGCTTACTGTTCTTCACGAATTCGACGGTCTGGTCGCGACCCCAGCCTTCCTGGTAAGTCGCGTCGCAGTAACCATAGACGTATGTAGAACCAGATCCGCCGATCGCCCATGGTTGACGGAATAGACCGCCGCCAAGAGGGATGTTGTAGACGCTAGGTCCAACCTCTTTGTCCCAGCCTGCAACGATGATACCCGCGCTCAACGCATCCTTGTTCTCGTAGCACAAGTTCTGGAAAGTCTCTGCTGCAATGTGAACAGTTGGCCGCTCGCCGCGGAATTGACTTTCGTCCATGTCAGGGAAGATCAGACATGTAGCATGAGAACGCAGCGTACGTGTATGTTTGCAAATAATAGTGCACGATGTCAGCGACGGCCTGAGTGTCTGCGGCAGAGCCAGAACGGCAGCAGTAGATGCGATCGTGGATGTGTGTGAGCTTGTCTGTTACACGGTTGGCCTACGCGAGAGGGTGAGATATTGATCACTTCAGCCATACAGATTACACACAATGTAACTGCCCGTGGTAGTCCTACTGTCCGCACCGACGACCACGCCACCATCGAACTGGACCGCCATAATCGAGGTCTACGCCGCGCTGTGAGTTATAATTATATATGACTTTTAGAGTTGATCTGCATACACCAAGGTTGACCTCTCCGGCCTTGAGTCTCTGAATGTCAACGTTCATTGTGGCGATGGGAGGAGATGATGGTCGGTGAAGAGCAAGTACGGCGAGACGCGTCGCGAGATGCACGCGCCCGACGCGCAAGCTCGAGACGCGACGCGCGTTCCGCGTCCGACGCGTCCTGAACCTACACCGAACCGCCATGTCTTCCTCCCAACTCCCCGCTCTGTACAGAGAGCTGTCCGCGTCTTTTAATACCAGGACCCCAGACTTGAAGAAATGCGGTAAATTACTCGCACAGCTCAAGGCCAGTCGTGCGCCACTCCATACCATCCCAACGCTCAAGTCGCGTCTAGATCGCGCTCATTGAGAACGGCCTGATATTTCCCTCTTTTGATAAGAACAAGGAAGATCTTAAGGTGACACGTACGTACGAGTCATTATTCTTCTATATCCAGTACTCAGAATTCATAGGCGACATCTTGGAGATCGGCGCGTACTGGAGCATACGAACGAAGGACGTCCCTTCGTTCGACCGCTATTTCTCCCAGCTTCAGACTTTCTACGACGACTTCAGGTGAAACACGGTTCCAGCTATCTGTGAATGCCAGACTGACTCGTGCTCTAGCTCCATTCTCCCTCCGTCTCAACGAGAATTCCCCATTCGCGGCTTGAACCTCATTCGCCTACTCATTCAGAACCGCATCGCAGACTTCCACACCACGCTCGAATCCTTACCATTATCTGCGGACGAAATCGCATCCAACCCTTTCATTCAGCACCCGGTCAATCTCGAGCTGTGGCTCATGGAGGGAAGCTACTCGAAGGTCTGGAACGCGCGGGAAGAGGCTCCGGCAGAAGAGTACAAGTTCTTTGTTGAGAGCTTGATGGGCACCATCCGGTAGGTTGGCTATGAACGCTACATGTCGAGCCGTTTGCTGACGATAGCTTAGAAACGAGATCGCTAGCTGCGAAGAAGCAGCATACCACGTCTTGCCACTAAAAGACGCCGCAACTCTGCTATTCTTCCGCAATCAATCAGAGCTACTCAACTTCGCAAAGGAGCGAGGGTGGCAGGTAGACATCGGCGCAGGTCAGATCATCTTCCCGCATAAATCGGAAGAGGATTTGGAGATTCCCCGGGAGAAACTCATTGCCAACGACCTAGCGTACGCACGGGAGCTGGAGCAGATCGTGTAACTGTATTTACTTGGACAATGATTTCTTCATCCTTCCTACCCGGCGATGCCGGTCGTGCCCTGTTCGTCTCAGATCTGCCACAATCCCAGCAGACGAAGATGCGAGTCCGACCATGTTGAACATTGGATAAAAGTACACAATATGAACAGCAATTACTCAAAGCTCTCCAGAGCGTCCTTCGCCTTCTTCTCCGCTTCGTCGAAGAGATCTTTCGGCACAGGCTCGTGCAAGCCCTTCGACTCGTCGCCTACCCAGGTCATCTCGAGCTCGAACTCCTTCTCCTTCGCGTCGTCGTGAACCAAGTAGATGCTAGAGTTGGAGCATCAGTATGACATCTCCGGTTCGCAGTGTAATGGTCACGCACATGCGGGCCGCCTCGAATACGGCTTCTCGCGTTGACAACTCAGCAAGCTTGAGCTTCTCTAGCTCGCTCTTCGCCAATTGACGGCCTTTGCCGACTGCTGCGCCGTGGTAACCCTAGCAAGGGCTTAGGAAAGTATATCAGGTCGAGAGAGCATATGATCGTACCAATGCAACACCACTGGGCTCAACGACGAATAGTTGCGGTCCCTTCTTGTCCACGCCACCGATGATTGCGCTAGTTCCGAAGGGACGCACAGAGCCGTACAGCGTATACGCCTGAACGAAGAGCCCGAGGCGATCTGCAACCTCCTAGATCGTACGTCAGCTCCTATGACTGACGTAGACGCGGTAAATCTACGCGCCTTCACGTTTGGGGGATGGTGGTATTGCGACCTTAATGTCTTGCCCTCCTCCTTCGCTCGATTAGCCAATTGCCGACCATCGGCCACGAGACCAGCAGTCGCCTGGAAAGATATCAGAATGGTCCGAGATACGGGGTAATACTCACGTACGAAACCCAGATGCCTGTCGATGGTCTGTATCCTTCGGTTCGCACCAGGAATCAAGAGTTTGGATTGCACAAGCTTCTCGACGGCGAAGACGACGCCATCCTTTACGCGCAAACCAATCGCAGTACTGGAGTGATGACGCTTCTTCAGTAACTTAAGTTATTAATATCCATAGATCACCAGCGCACCCAGAGTTCTCGACCGCCTTACTAGCATACTCGACCTAGATAATCATTGAATGTACATTCCACCCACAGCCTCATCTGAGCGCACCTGAAAGATGCGGCCGTCCGGAGAGTATGTGCTCGCAGAGAGATCGTAGCCGGTACCGATAGAAGTCATGGTTCCAAATCAAGGTGCGTACTCTCCAGACGCGCGACGCGCGGCGACGCGCAAGCAGACGCGTCGCGGTACGTGGGAATATCCCCACACGTGCGCCTACGGGACGCTTCACCGTCTGCGTAGTTTGCTTCGTACTTTCACCACCCTTCGCCTTTCGTAGTTGCTATTCATGCTTCCCTCGGACAGAAACTCTACGAAGCTCTGAAGGATACGGCAATCGTGCTACAATTCTATGTGATGCCGCAACTCGGAAATCAAACACTACAAGCAGAGAGCAATGCGATAGCGAACTGTAATTTCAGAGCCGACCATGACATCTAAATGGCTTTTCTCGTGAGATAGATCACTTTGGTTGATGCGCCAGTTTGTCTCGGGCCCGCATTTGTTCACCGTGTCGCCACAAGTACAATGGGAACGGGATACCAAGCACGATGGCAAGACCGCCGAGGAGTGAGGTTCCTCCCCCGTAACCCATCGCGGTATACATCTGTCCTGCGAAGAGCGGGAAGCAGAATCCCAATATGGATCGTGCGACGGAAGCGGCGGAGAGTGCTGAAGCCGCGTATGGGAAGGTGTCGATCAGGTAAAGCTGGCAAGGCAAACTATACAGCGCTCAATATCGTCTGCCATGATCCGAGCGAGAGCTGCTCACTATGTTGCCATCATTCCAAAGCCGAACCATCCTGTTCTGGGGATGAAAGCGCGTCAGTCTCGGGACTGTGCAGCTCATACGCACTACATACCCGATAATTGGCATGATCCAATGTATGCCAGTCTCGGCGGACCATCCATACCAGCTGTGGCACATGTTCAGCTGTTCAGCCTGTGGCTCCTGTTATACAAGCTGGGTGTACTGACAACAGTCCAATCGGTACGAAGATCGATCCAAGGATTAGAGCGGGTACACGGAACTCTGGCTTGCTCACGCCACCATTTTTGTTGGTATACTGTCGGTCGAAGTAATGAGATGTTGCCATGAATGATGAACCCGTTTCCAGGATCCACATACATGCATATAGATGATGTTTCCTAGATGACCACCCATCATAGTGGCCAAAAAGAAGCCGATGCCTGACGGCTAGGATGAGTTCGATGATGGTGATGTGGGATTCCTGCGCACGCACCGAGCCCGAGGTATGCAAGCCCGCTGGTACCAGCATTGAACCCGTACTTATCCGCAAACAGGTCCGGGAATGTCGAGAATATGCTATGCGGTGTGTGAGCGCACGAGCGAGACAACTGGTGTATGATCATACAGGTAGTAGATCCCATACAGCCTGTCGTGACGCCATTAACTATACTGAGGTCTCACTCATAACTGTGTACTCACAACGCCATATATAGACTAAGTACGAAGCAAATCAAGCTGCGCGTAAGCAGCACAAATGGGCGAACCAAGTTGACCTTGATGATCTGCCACCTTTTCTTGGGGTCATGGGCTTCCATGAGGTGTGGGTGACGCTTCATCGCCTCTTCAGGATCCATACTTTTCGCGAGTCGCAGGCGGATGACAGGCGCGTATGTCTCGCGCAAGCAAGGTAAGCCAACAACAGCGGCGGCGCCCGCCAATGCGACGATCAGGATGAAGCAATACTTCCAGCCCACGCTCTCGCCGAGGAACCCACCCTACAGTAGACTCCAGATCGCGAACGTAAGGATCTTCACGAAGAACTCACCATAACTGGACCGATAACGGGGCCTGTTCCATCTTCAATAGAGTTATCCTGGAAGCATTGAATGGGACGTACCGATGAGGGGCCCCAACGTGTAGATAGCCATGGCTGGAGCTCGCTCGTGTTCTGAGAAGAGGTCTCCTATGATGCCCCCACCTTTTTAAAGTTCATGGCGTGAGTGATGAACCTAGAGAATAGCCATTTCGCTCACCAATTGCGATAGGTGCAGCACCAAATCCACCGCCTGCGGACGCCGCATGTAAGATAGTTCTCTGCTGGAGGGAGCAAACGGTCGATTGAACGCACACATGAAGCGGAATGCGAGCAATGATCCAGTAGTAGGTGAAAAGGCACATCCCAGATTCATAGCGAGAAAGAAGAGGTTGCTAATGTCCAGAATCTTCAAGGGATACGGTGTTTCAATGCCGAGTGAACGGGATGGTGAGGGACATCGTACCCATTTGCGTCCATATATCTCCGACAAAGGTGCATATAGCAAAGGCGTGAAAGCGAAGGAAAAGAGGAAGATAGAAAGCGTCAAGGAAAGCAGTGTTTCGCTCGTAATTCCAAAGTCGTCCGCGATAAAGGGCAAAGCAGGAGCCATGATAGAACTGCTCAATGGCGGGACGAATGTATAGAATGACGCTGCGCCGACCACGATCCATTTTCTGCGACCTGGCCAGTTGCGAGGATTGCGAAGGTCATGCTGCCAGTCGTCCTCGACGCTCTCAAATGCCTCTTCTCTTTTATCCTCGGGAATGGCAGAGGGCCCTTCGCCATCAGGATGCGCTGCGTGATTCGACTGTTTCCTCTTCTCCCCTTTCTCCTCCTTGAGCGAGACCACGGTTGCAGTTGACCCAGTTTGGGAGATCCCGGACCGAATAGACGCTCGGCCACTCTCGACGACAGAATCGACGACGACCATAGAGAACAGCAGCTAGAGAAGAGGGAAGTGGGACGAGTGGGTGCCGTGCGATCCTTATATGCCAGTTCTACGGGTTGCAGCCCCGACTCTAATGGCCCCATGAGTGAAAGGGTGACTCGGGCCGGAGTTACGATCTCTCGATCGTTCTGCCTGAGTTTGGTTGTCGGCCGAATGCAGAATGCCCTGGTTGGGTCGGACAACGATGACAAAGCTTGTGAGTTCATTCTCACTCACCTTGTCGGTGGAGAAAGTGGCGCGAATGTGTACTGATTCGGACGCACACCATACACACCACGGTGCACGCCGAAGGCGATAGTCGGATATGAGGTCGAAAACGAGTGTACACGTCCACAACAACGAGGCTACGATGGATCGACGTATCTTACCCCGCAGTCAATTGATGCAAAAGCGGATACAGATGCGCGCATCCGGGTTCGCCGCCGGCAAGGCCGCCTTCTTGTAGTTCTTGTGAGAGTGCGACACGAAGGTCACGCTCCCCACGGGAAAACTCTATTGCCTAGAAGCATAAGTGTAGCGTAGCAAGGACGGATGGGCGGATAGGTGTATGAGGTATAAGGTAGCAATGTGGGATATATGTCTCCTTTGATGAGTTACGCGTGCTTATCAGCGCGTCAGGCTGCTCCGCGCCCGCATCTGTTCACCCCGGAACCACAGCCAGATAGGGAACGGAATGCCGAAGAGGATGGAGAGTCCAGCGAGGAAAGAGTTTCCACCGCCTAGACCCATGACATCGAACATCTACGTAGAAAGGCATCAGCTTCAATGCCGCAACTCTATTGAGCGCCCAGTGCCTGTGCTTACCTGGGAGGCGAAGAGAGGAAAAGCGAAGCCGAGCAAAGACCTCACGACTGAGGCCGCCGAGAGCGCCGATGCTGCATAAGTATAGCTGTGACACGAAGCGACAGTCAGTCGGTGCGAGCGCATATAAGTACGAAAAGAAACTCACGTGTCGACGAGGTACAGTTGAATAGGGAGGAAAACGGCCATGAGACCGAAGCCAAAGATACCACAGCTAAGAGAATAGAAGTGAGCAATGATGACCGGAGGGGATAGCTCATGGGCGTACCCGATAATTGGCATGATCCAGTGTATTCCGGCTTGCGCAGACCAACCATACCAGCTGTAAATGGCGGTGAATTAGTGGACAAATTGTATGCCAGGACGGACATACAAGAGGCCGATTGGCGCGAACAAGGACCCGAAGATCAGTGCAGGCAGACGATACTCGGGTTTGGAGACACCATTGTTCTTCTTCACGAGCTAGATGGCGTTTGGTTTTAGCAAAGTCTCCCATAGGAACTCGCCGAGGAACTCACAGCGAGATAGACAACGTTGCCGTAGTGCCCTCCGAGCGCGGTAGCCAAGATGAAACCGAGACCAAGACCGAGGTAGGTCAATCCGGTGGAGCCAGACGAGAACCCATATACTGTGGCGAACAATTCTGGGAATGTTGCGAACATCCTGCTCTGGTTCAGATGACAGCAAACCTAGGAATTGACGCATCTGACTTACAGGTAGTATATGCCATACACGCTGAGGCCCAGTTAGTCAATATAGATTGTGATAGAGCACGAAAACGTACAGGGCCATGTATAGGCTGAGCGCGAAGCAGATGATGCTGCGCGTGAGGAGAATGAACGGTCGCTCAAGGTTTTCTCGCATGATTGCCCATTTCTTGCTGGGATCGTGGGCGGCTTGAAGATGAGGATGATGTTTGATAGCCTCCTCAGGAGACATGCCCTTAGCCAGTCGAAGGCGGATCACGGGCGCATAGCTTTCACGAAGAAGAGGAACACCAAGCACGCCGGCGGCAGCTGAAAGGGCACCGACGAGGATGAAGCAGTACTTCCATCCTACGGTTTCCGCAAGATAGCCGCCCTATGGAGTATAAGTCGTCGGTACGTTGTCATGGGTTCTAGATGTGGCCCTACCATGACTGGTCCAATGGCAGGCCCGATGAGCGGTCCAAGTGAATACAACGCCATGCCAGGAGCACGATCCTTCTCCGAGAACAGATCTACGGGAAGCATCAGAATCATATGCGAGATGAAGTCGGAGTAACATACCACCAATGATCCCACCGCCTACTGCGAGGGGCGCCGCGCCGACCCAACCACAGAGGAAACGGAGACCGACCAACGCGCCCGTCGAGGGAGCGAATGCGCAGCCTGTAAATCCTGTCAGAGTTGACGTCTGACACACATAGATTATACTTGCCGAAGTTGAATGCAATGAAGAAGATGTTGCTAATGTCTAGGACCCACTTGCGCCCGTAGATCTCCCTGTGGATACCGTGAGCGTTCGGAGAATACCCTCATATCATCCGAGTGACTAGACTGACGACAGAGGAGCGTAGAACAAGGGTGCCAAGGCGAAAGACAGTAAGAATATGGACAGTGTGAGGGCAACAACAGTCTCGCTTGTGATACCGAGGTCGAGTGCGATATAGGGTAACGCCGGGGCCATGATAGAACTGCTCAGGGGTGTTACAAAGGTATAGAACGATGCCTATTGAAGATTTTGAGGATGTATTATCCCGCACACGTGTGGCATTCGACGTACGATCCCAACGCATAGCCATTTCTTCTTCCCGCTCCAGTTGCGCGGGTTGCGCTTGTCATGCTGCCAGTCGTCCTCGACATTCTCATATGCCTCCTCCTTCTTGTCCTCCGGAATAGCCGACTCGCCCTCTCCTCCATGCAGAGTGTTGTCCGTCAGAGTAGCCTTCCTTGACAGGTCGCTGACCGACTTTTTATTCGGCAAGGGAGGGACCGGTGGCAGGTTCGTCTCGGCCGGAAGCGAGTCCGGGTTCAGTGCAACAGTCGAGACCGACGCATTGTGCAGACGACCCAGACGCTCGGGCTTGGTGGTCATCGCGGCTGCCAGCGACGTCGACGAGGTCGAAGCTGAGAGAGGGGAAGGGCGCGAGGGAACGAACGAACGGACAAGGGACCCACTCAAGTGCTCATGTACTCATGACCGGGTATTATAACCTGTTGCTTATGTCCGTTTATCTATGATTTGAGCTCGAGCATAGTGTCATGTTCGCTTCGGACGACGGCGCCAGTTGACGATCAGACTGCTTGATTCGCTCTTTCGGCCCTAGTCGCCATGCCGTATGGCACGCATCAAGGGCACCGGTTCACCCGCAGCTTGGCGAGGTCGGATGCCCGGAGATGGTGCAAGCGCTCGACTTTCCCAGTATCTTTGGTCACGTTCGCTTCTGGGTACTAGGATGGCATCGGCCGACAGGTAATGTGAATTTTGGGCCGTTGAGTACGCGGGGAAGCAGGGAAAGGAAGACATCAAGCGCATCATGAGTGTCTTCGACAACCGTCGGCTTGTCCGAAGCCGGTTCCCGAACCGGTGAGTTGTGGCTCGTGATATATAAGCGCCCACAGCACGTACTTAAACCCCAATCCAGATCTGTACGTTCACGCCTCACGGGACAACATGCAACTGAGCATTAAATCACTGTACACTATCTGAACTAAGACGCAGGAATGGCGGCAATATACTGCGCCTATACAACACTGTAACGGCCGTACGTCGAGGTCGGGTTCCTCATCTCTGCCTGCAACGCAGCAGCCGACGCCTCGACAAGCAAACGCTTGATCTCGCGCACGGCATGCTCGACCCTCCACTCCTCGTTTGACTCGATGAGCAGATGTAGCTTGGGTGGCCCATCCGCGGGCGGCTCCTTGCCTGTCTCGTAGTAGATACCTTGATAAGCGGTCAGTACCTGCACTCAATTAACCATGAATTTCAAGAACCGACGCACCCTTGTTCGTAACGCTCGCACCCGTCATATCGATGAGTTGCACCATAGTCTCCTTGTTCGTGACCCTCCACCTCGCTTTCTGCGGGTAATCATTGATGGGAATGATAGCATGGAAGTCCGTAGAGTCAGGGTTGACCTTGCGGCCCACGTCCTCGGCCTGGAGCTGAGCCTGTTGCGCGAGCTTGTGCGCGCGTATCTGCGCGTTGAGCTTCGCGACGACGCTCATGGCCTGTTTACCTGCCGGCGTATCCTTGCCTGCACGCGCGGCAGCCTCCTCTGCAGCGCGAAGAGAGTTCTGTAGGCGGTCCTCTTCCTTCTGCGCCACAAGCCTGCGAGCGGCGGCGGCGGCCCCCGCGACACCCATCATGCCCGGTTTGTTCGTGTCCGGCGCAGGACCACGCATGATCTCGACCTTGAAGTTGCCAATGGTCATGTCATCCTTCTCCTCGCCCTTCTTCGCCTCTGCACCCTCTGTCGTAGTCGTCGCGGCAGCCTTCTTTTCCTCACCCTCCTCCGGCTCGCCGTACGCCTTGCGCTCAGCCTTCTCGCGCGCATCGCGCTCTTTATCAAGCCGGTCGAGACCCTTGCCACCAAACCCTGAGCCAGCGGCATGCGCCTTACCGGCCTTGACTTTCTCCAAAAAGCCTGTACATGACAATTAGCCTATCTTAATCATAGAGGGGTCAGGCGCGACGAACCATTGGCGAGATCTTCGAGCTCCTTGGGCGTATTGGCGTTGCTAGCCTTCAGTGCACGGAAGATGTCGACCGAGTATCGATCTTGCTCTGGCGTGATGAAGGTGACACAAGTGCCCTTGTTCCCTGCCCTGCCCGTCCTGCCTGCGCGATGCACATAGTCCTCCATATGATTTGGCGCATCGTAGTTGATCACCAACTTGAGTTGCTTGACGTCCAACCCGCGCGCAGCGACAGATGTAGCAATGACAATGGGCACAACGCCGGCTTTGAAGTCCGCGATTGTCGAGTCACGGTCGACTTGGTCTTTACCGCCGTGAAGTGACATGCACAGGTAGCCGCGGCGCATCAGCTCGCGCAGAAGATTGTCGGCCGCTTCTTGACGGTCGACAAAGATGAGCGTCCGCGCTTCGGGGTCCTCATTGTACATCTGACCCAGGATCTCCAGCAGACGCGTGAACTTGGTGTCCTCCGGCCGAACCTCTACGATCTGCTCAATCTCCGCAGCCACGACACTCCTTCCACCGACGGTGATCTCCAACGGCTTCTTGAGGATCTTGCGCGCTAGAGAATCCATCTGTTTAGGGAACGTAGCTGAAAACAGGAGGGTTTGGCGGTCGGGGCGAATGTTGTTGACGATCTTCATCACTTGTGGCTCAAAGCCCATGTCGAACATGCGGTCGGCTTCGTCCAGGACGAGGTAGGTTACGCGCTTGAGATTCGTGACACGACCCGAGTTGGCGGTGAGGAGGTCGATCATACGACCGGGTGTACAGACGATGATCTCCGCGCCCTTCTTCATGTCGGCAATCTGGTCCTTGATGGGCGAGCCGCCGTAGGCGCAAACAGCCTGCGGTCGGATGAGTGCACGTTCTTTGAGTGTGAATAAGGGAATAAGCACGCACCCTGAGACCGAGAACCTTCAAGAATGGCTTACAGTCACGATGAATCTGGACGGCGAGTTCACGCGTCGGTGTCATGATGATGGCGATGGGGCCCTCCATCTGTTCAAGAGGGCGCTGGTCCTTGATATGGCGGAAGACAGGTAGTAAGAAAGCAACGGTCTTTCCTGAACCGGTCTTCGCCACACCGATAACGTCGCGACCTGACATGATGGCCGGAATCGCTTGCGCCTGGATGGAAGTCGGAGCCGTGTATCCTAGGCGTTTGATTACGTCGAGTCTGAAAGATGAATCAGCATATAGTTCATGCTTTGCGCGAGTGACTGGACGTACACATTGGCATGTAACCCAAAGTAACTCCATTTCGTGACTGGACGGGGGCAGTCCACGCCGCGAATCTTGATGCTGTCGAGTTCCAGGCGCAGAAGCTCGGCCTCATCGTCCGACATGGCTGCAATCTCAGGTGGCGGCACATAGAACTCCTTCCTGAACGGCTCATAATTGATGCGCGAATGGTCGACGGCCGCAAAGTCCTTCTTCTTGGCCTTCTTTGCGGCGAGAGCAAGAATGTCTTCAGGATTGAGCTCGGTGTTGTCAAGCTCATCCGCGCCCGCTCCTCCTCCGTCGGCATCCACTGCATCATCTGGGCCGCCATCGTTCATCCTGTCATCCAGGCGCTCACGCAAACGACCGGGGCCTACCATCTTCTTGAGGTCCTCCTCGTTGACCTTCTTGACTTCTTGCTTGACACTGGACATGAACGCGTCGAGAGGGTCAATGTCGTCCTCCTCCTCGTCGACCTCCATCGTGGCAGCAGTGGCGCCGTTGGTGGCAGGTTTGCCGTCTTCGTCTTCGTCCTTCTCAAGGTCGCCGATCGTCGCCTCAGACTCGTTCATGGACATGTCGACGGCCGGCATGTCGCCGAGCACCTCGAGCTTGCGTTTTGTCTCGACCGAGTCGTCCATGGACATGCCACCCTTGAGCACGTCCTGCTTGGCCGCGCGCCCTTTGATGCCGACGCTACCGAACGCAGGGCGATTGAGTACACCGTTGGCGCTAGCACCTGTGAAATGAGATCAAGCAATGTAAATCACGTCCAATGTGAAAAGTGAAATAAATATACGCACCTGGTGGAGGGGCCTTGCCGGCGAGGGCCATGGCGCTGGCTGTGGCCTTTGCGGCGTCGAGGGCCTTCTTTGCCTCTCTCTCCTTCTTCCACGCCTCCAGCTTCGCCTTCTTCGCCTTCATCTTCTCGTCCTCCACGCTCGGCGTCGCGGGCTTGGACTCTGCCTTGGCGGTCTCCTTCGGCGTATCGCGAGCTGGGGGCGAGGGACGGCGGTCACGCGACGAGGGCCGGCGGCGGTCGTCCCGCCTATCGCGCTCGTCGCGGTACCTGGGCTTGTCGTCGCGGTGCCTGTCGCGGCCGTCGTATCTGTCCCGGTCTCTGTCTCTGTCCCGGCGGTCTCTGTCC